ATTTTATTTCTTAAGCCACACGTTTAAAAATATTTAAGAAAAATTGTTGATCAAAAGTCATTACAATTAGTTGAATTTTTGAAATTATTTAAACATAACAATTGCAGCTAATTTCGCTCGGCAAAAAACTTAATTTCTTAATAACTTTTACAACAATATTTCGATTTAAGAATGGTTTACGAACTGATACGCTCCATATCCATCACAATACTCAAAGAGTAAAAATGAATACAATTTGTTAAGCCTTATATCCGGTTTTAAATTATAAAAAAACAAGAAAGGAAAGCTAACTTCGGGCGGAGCCGAAGTTGATATACCCTTGCAGAATACTCTATAATTATATTCTCCAAAATTATTCCTATGATGCATTCTTAATACTCATAAAAAATCCAAACTTCCAAACTTTAAAAACACCAAAGTTATGGCATTTCCAATCGTTCAGTTATATGGCAGCTATAGGATATAGTCGGCCGATCCTTATGAAATTTGGTAGGTCGGATTGATTGGCCAAATATAACCCCTGTAGAAAATCCCAACTTCAACTTACAAACACCAAAGTTATGGCATTTCCGATCAATCAGTTATATGGCAGCTATAGGATATAGTCGGCCGATCCTAATGAAATTTGGTAGGTCGGATTGATTGGCCAAATATAAAACCCAAGAAAATCCCAACTTTCAACTTTACAAACACCAAAGTTATGGCATTTCCGATCAATCAGTTATATGGCAGCTATAGGATATAGTCGGCCGATCCTTATAAATTTGGTAGGTCGGATTGATTGGCCAAATATAAAACCCATGAAAATCCCAACTTCCTAACTTTACAAAAACGAAAGTTATGGCATTCGATCAATCAGTTATATGGCAGCTATAGGAATAGTTGGCCGATCCTATGAAATTTGGTAGGTCGGATTGATTGGCCAAATATAAAACCCAAAAAACCCAACTTCCAACTTTACAAAAACGAAAGTATGGCATTTCCGATCAATCAGTATATGGCAGCTATAGGATATAGTTGGCCGATCCGGCCGTTCCGACTTATATACTGCGTGCAAAGGAAAGAAGGGTGTGTGCAAAGTTTCAATTGATAGCTTTAAAACGAGGACTAGTTTGCGTAGAAACAGACAGACGGACAGACAGACGGACAGACGGACAGACGGACAGACGGACATGGCTATATCAACTCAGGAGGTGATCCTGATCAAGAATATATATACTTTATAGAGTCGGAGATGCCTCCTTCACTGCGTTGCACACTTTTGACCAAAATTATAATACCCTCTGCAAGGGTATAACAATTTACCTATTTATAATACTTATCAAGTACATCATTTATGAGATTACTTTCTGCGTATATCTTGGAAAGGGATGTAAAGAGGAATTTCCTGTTGAAGCTATGAAGTTGGGCCCAAGTAAGCTTTTCGCAATCTGCTCAAGCCACTCACGTATGCAACGCCCTTTGACCTTTCGATCTCGCTCCCCGTTTTGTTTATCCTGTGTTTCATTTGGGGCGCCCAAGCGTGTCATCAGCTGTTGCCACAGCCCGAATTTGTTTGTACCTTGGGTTCACGCAAACATCCTCAGCGATTTCGGTGTTTATCAAACTGTCTCCTAAATGTTAAAGTTAAGGCTTCACGACTGAGGTGAGCTTTGGGCAAATCCTAGCAACAGAATATCACTCATACGCACACACACACACACATGCAGACGAGAGTCCTAAATGGCAAAATGCTACTAAGCCCACTTACTTACAATTTAGCAGAAAAATAAAGCGAACGAGAGACAGGAAGAGAGGAACAAAATCATATGGCGAAAACGAGAGTGTAAAATTTTTTGCATACATAAAACGAGGAGCAAAGCGTAAGGGCATCAAATAAAACAACAACAACAGCAGCAGAAAAATGAATCCAGCTTTATGGCACGCACCCACACAGGCGCACACATACGGCACTTGACTTTATTCAGCAGCCATGGCAAGTGCCTTAATAGTGTGCGTGTGTATCCTTGTATCCTCATATCATGGTGCTCATGTGTGTGTGTGTGTGTGTGTGGACTACTTTCTGGTGTGGGCGGCACAAAATCCAATCAACATAACGAGCTACAAGCGCCGCTGAGCGGCATAAAACGCAAAAAATATATACGACTGTGTGCGGGTTGTGATTGTATGGCGTTCGTATGTGTGTGAGCGTTGAGATTGCATACACATATCACGCTCTTTTGGCTAGAACACTGCTAGAAATTATGTGGCCGGAGATAAGCTTAAAGGCCATAAGTCAATACCAGACTCTAAGCCAAATAAATCTCATTTCGGAAAAATCTCTTCTAAATTCCACTCAAAAGCCAGAAGAAATTGGAAAGAGGTTTTCGGAAATAAATTTCAATAAATAAGTCAGAACTATTTTTCACTGTCTACCAGCCACTCGACTTTTTACATGCTCAATTCACAGTTTCAAATAGTTGCTATACTTATTTAAAAAAATTGATAGCATTTTCAAGGACTTGCTTAAAGTCCAATTAAGTCAATATTTTAAGCTTGAATATAAAAAAACTTTAGCTTGTTTAGTTTAAATGTTTCAGATTTCTGTTAGCGTTGTTCAATGAATTGAAATAAGGGAATTAACGAGCATGACTTCTCTTTTCACAACTGCATTGTTAATTAATTATTATGCGAATTTTATGCATCCACGTGTTTTACTATAAATATTTTGGGGAGCAGTATTAAATAAATTAAAACCTGCCCGAACCAAATAAAATGTAATGATTCATATTTTTTACAGCATATAACTCGATCGTTTGGTTAATAAATCCAGGTTTCTGAGTGTCAATATGGAATAAAAATATAAATAAATTGCAAATATGTTATTAATGAATTACAATTGATTTTTGCCTTATTAAAAGTAAACGATTGAGTTAAGAAAATAAATCACTACGAATCTCCCAGTTCTGTTCTATAAAGATGCCTTATGTAAGCACGGATTTTCAAGGAATCTACAAGCGGGAGCCATCTTAAATTTAATAGAATTACCAACGCCATCCCTCCCAATCCCTTCCCGAATAAGTTGGCTGTACATATTTTTTCCAGTTTGCACGTTCATTCAACTCGCAGCTTGGCAACAACAAGCGGCCAAAACATCTCAAAAAGCTGGCGCTGAGGTAGACAAGCGCCCAAGTGTTGTTGTTTTTATTGTCGGTGGCGAACAGTAAAAACATTGCCAAGCTCAAAAGTGTGTCGACTCGTCACAAACATGCATACCCTCACGCACAAACAAATGAAATAAAAGTAAACCCATTTACACCACACACACAGTTGGTAGTCCTTTTTTTTTTCGTTTTTTTCAGAAGGGGGAAAGATTGGCGCCAACTGCTTGGCAAGCTGCAAATGTGGGACATTTGGCAGTCGCAGTCGCATTGTTAACTTTCTTTGACAGCGGGCCAAAAAATAAAATGGAAAAGGGAAAAAGGATGAGGGGAAAATGGAGGAGGAGCAGGACCGCCCGGGTGCATGTCCTCAACTCAGCGCCGATGTTGCTGCTGTTTTGCTCATTGCAACTGCAATGGCAACTGGGTGAATGTGAATGCGAATGTATTTATGGCACAAAATTGCAGGCACAGCAGCGGCAAATTAACACAGCACGAATGCAAATTTCGAGCAACCAGCCTGTTGCCATTCCAAAGCCCATTTCCATTTCGACCAATTGATTATTTGCATGTGGTGGTGGGGGGATGTGCATCTGGATCTCCTCATGGCAACAACTGTGAAAGCCCGACTCGGTCATGGCCACGCCAATGTTCCAATGTGTGAGTGTGTATTTTTGGCCTTCTTTGGCCCAGAGGGCGTCACGAGTGGGCGTGGCAGTACGGTCACCACACGCACTTATCGCCCATGCACAGCACGTCGTCCATTGGAGTGGAGAAAAATGCCTATAAAGGATTAATTCGATTCCAATATTCGCATACGCAAACGCATTTCCCATTTTGCATTCGACATTCTGAACTCGGCATTGTGCATCTCCGGCTGTCCGAATGCTGGTCAGCATATATATCTGGGATATTGCCGGTCATTGTTGGCATTGTTTTAAATGCCCCAACCATAATGATTGTTGCCAAATGAAAACCAAAAGCAAAGAGTGACGTTTTCAGGGTATCGCAAGGCAAATGGCTATTGTGATGCATCCTGCAAGGCAGAGATAAAGTTATTACACGCTTTAGTTAATATAATCCCATACTTAAGTCAAAGAAAGCAAAACCCAAAGGAGGCTTAAGCTAAATTGGCGGTCTTCTCTTAAAACGAATATATTAACAAATCTTAATCATCTTAATTCATGCCGAAAGGGCAATCAAAGGATGTATAGACAGCTCATTAATTTGACAAAATAGAATATAATGTATTTACATAAAAAATTAAGATTAAATATTAATATAAGTAAATATAATAGCATTTTCACCACTCGAAAGAGCATTTGTAAATCATGTCTAGATCTAAAAAACTCCTTGGCCTGGTCTTTTGTAGCTCGTTGAATGTGTTGAGCTGCGATTGCAATTTGCATTTTTTATGAATGACAACCAGCGTAATGGTTTCCATGGGCAACAGATTAAAGCTGCATTACGGTGTCAAGACCTTTTAAATTTTCAATTTCCCACCTTAAGTGCTGGCCAGTAGGATATTGCGAATTTAATTGCATTTATGGCCACGTTTCGCATTCGCAAAATGCATTTACACACACACACGGACAAAGGCCGAAAACGAGAAGGTATGCGTTGCATAGATTAAGATGCATTTGATGCACCGGCACAGATAGCCAAATGGCATGTTAATTGGTCTAATTCGATAGCCAATTCAATTTAACACGCCCAACAAAACAGGGGTTAAATCAGAGGAGTTTTGGCCTGCCAAAATGATTCAATGAACACTTTGATTTTGCTACGATGATATCGATACGATGATCGAATCTCTTAGCTATTAATCTAATAGTAAAAGTAATTTACATTGCATTTCAGGTCTCACCGCCCACAACAGGAGGCTGCCACGCCCCTTTCCAGAAGGCAGGACGCACGGCACACCACATCACCACACCCAACATGGGCAGCGGACACTATTTCTGGGCGATCTTATACTTTGCCAGCCTGTGCAGTGCTTCACTGTAAGTACACCGCAGCTCCCAATGCATTTAAACAAAACCACGACACTCCACTCGCAAACAGTAGCTGCAGTATGTAAGCCGCTTCATAATTTGTCTCCCGCTCCACTCACCATTTATTTTACACTTACTTTTTGCTTCATTTTTTACCGAGCGCCCTTGTTTCTCGTGTTTCACACGGCACTTGGCCAAGAAGTGGCATTCAAAATGCGATTTACATACAATTGTCATTAATTTTACCAAGCCACGCCTCGCCATTAAGCAGCGAAGCCGATATATTTAAACAACTGCATATGTATATATACACTGAGAAAAGTCATTAAGCAGATTAACAAATAAAATAATTCAAAACTAATTATGATTTTTAACCGAATAAGTATAGCATAACAAATAACAAATTGAGTCATTTAACAATGACTTACAACTTTTGATAAAACTTTTAAGTTAATATAAACAAAATGTTGTTTAACTAAAATCAACTCTATACTTAATACAAGTAATTATATAAGCTCAATATTTTCTCTGTGTATATATAAATCAGTTAATGTGCTTTTACGCTGAATTAGAAGCGTAGTTATAAGCTGTAGTTTGCTTTTCATTTGTTGCTGATTTACAAACTCACGCCCACCATTTAGCCGCCTTTAGCTACTTGAGTTTCCATATCCTGTATCACAGACACTCACATACACACTTCACCAGGACACCTCATTAAAATGTAATTAATTTTCGTGTAATTTTTTGTCGGAGCATAAATTTTGGAATTATTTACGCTCAAGTCGAGGTCAAAATCAGCAGCTATGTGACTTTGCCTTGGCTTTTGATAAGTGCGACAGTGTATAATATCAACGAAAACGATTAAAGCGAACACTTTCACACACTTTCAATAAATTTGTACATATTTATCCTAAAAAAAAACAATTGCTGTATATTAAATGCAACACTTTTCTTTAATGCAATATTTCAAAGAAAACAAAAATTCCAATTTGCTTAGCTGACGTTTTTCCAAAACTTCAATACCATTTAAATCTTTAAAATTTGCCCAATTAACTCAAGCAAACATTTTTTAAATTATACATGCGTACCTATCCGTATCCTGATTTCAGAGCAAATAATGCCAAAATAAATTTCCGAGAAAAGGAGAAAAAAGTCTTAGATCAAATTTTAGGTGCAGGCAAATACGACGCCCGAATACGACCATCCGGAATAAATGGCACAGGTGAGAATTATTTGAATTACCCTTAACCTTTATTAGATCTTAATCTTAACCATGAATAACTTTTGATATTTGTTTTAACTTCAATTTCTAAACACTTTTGTTGGATCTTATGGATTGTTTTTATTTTGGCTTTTTACTTTCTATATAATATGTACGATACAAGTATATTGGTAAACGCTATCTATAGGAAAGCTTTATAACAAAATTATGGAATTCTTAGCTAATGTAAGCCTCTGCTTAAGTAAAACGAAATTGAATATCGGAACATCTCTAACATAGTTTAGTGTGCCAATCAGATCGAAGAATATTTAGCTTAGTTAGATCAGATCAATAAGTTAACCGTTTTACATTTACGTCGAAAACTCACGTTTAAACCAAACTTTATGCCAGATGGTCCCGCCATAGTCAGAATCAATCTATTCGTACGCAGTATTATGACGATTAGTGATATTAAAATGGTAAGTCGCACTGAAACGGAGCCAGTAAATTCGATATCGGCACTCGAAATCGTTAGATTGTCACCCACCTCCCCCTGCTCTGATTCTCCCACTCTGTCTCTTGCTTTTCCACTTGGCCACCCTATCATCAAGAAATTAGAAAACACGAAAGTTGTCTTGGTAGCTCTTGCAACTCATATACACACACGCTAAAGAACACATAGAGCAAACACTAATCACTTATAACACACACTTGTTTTTGCGTTTTGCGTTGACTCGTTCTCTAAATCTCTCGATACATACCATATATACCATATATATAATGCGTATAAACATCCGATGCTAAGTATTTGCGTTTGATTTTTGCCATATTTCGGCAATTTGTACCATTACCTGTCCCCCTTGTTTGTACATTTATGTTTTCGTTTCCGTTCGTTTCTATAAACAGCGTTCGTTCTGTTTTATTTAAGATTACAAAACAAACACACCAAAGTTCGAAATGTTAAGAATGTTGCCTACTTTTCCGGGCTTCTTTTCCATTAAACTTCTTTAAAAAGCGGAAATTATATACCTTATAACACTATGACTTTTTAAAAATTATTTACGTAATAGTTTTCATAAAAAAAGTTTTCCGTTTTTGAGATGCAAACAGCTCATGGTTTCCAAAGTTACAAAATTGTGGACCTGTCAATAAAAATGTATTTATGTAATAAAATCCATTAATTTACATCCCATGTTCCGCAGTTGCCAGTGTTCAGTTTTTACAAACAGTTTTTTCATTTAATAAAGTTTTGATTTCATTTGCAGTTCATTTTGTTGTTGTCATGTTGACTTTTACCGCGGCAATGACATCATTAATAATGTAAGGGCAATATAAATATTTGAAAATTGCTCGGCACAGTCACATTCACATACTTATAGTCCTGAAACACCGACTGGGAATGGTCATTAAAAACGACAAATAGGCTTATAACTATAGTTGCCAGCTCTATAAATATTAAATATTAAGGCATATCAATTAGCACAAGCCACGTTGCCCTTTGGCATTTGGAAGCAAATTACACAGATTTTCTGTATTTTATTCATACCACACATACGTACAACCCCCCACCACCCGTTCGTAGAATTTCCCCCCTTATAAGCCATCCTCGAAGGTCACAAAAACAACTCATAGACAAACAACGCAACTTTAGTAACGTACATAAATTCTAGCTTAACTTAGGTATATAAAAAACGCAAACAAAACGAAACAAAAATCGAGAAGAAAATATTCTTTGACTTAGCTTAGCTTTGTAAGCAAAACTGGAAGCGAACTTGCTTAGCAACTTTTGTATCCTAGCAAGTAAGCAAAAAGGAAAACAACAACCGAGAGGAAGGCTATAAAATAAAACTTTATTACAGGGAGCAACATAAAGGCATAAGGACTGCCGAAATATGGGAGGAGGTGCGGTCATTTTAAGTTTGTTTTAGGGATTGCCAATGGACCCTGCGGCAGCTGTTAAAATTTTGTAGTATATTACATTGAAAGTATTGTGCAAATCGGTGAATATGTCTATCTATCATGTATCGCCTGCAGATGGTCCGGCTGTGGTGCGCGTCAACATATTCGTTAGGAGTATATCGAAAATCGATGATGTAACCATGGTAAGTCGGCGCATCCGCAAACTATAAAATCCAAATTAAAAACCCGATAGAAAGTCAGTCAGTCCCCAAACCCCCAAAAGGCCGCAAGTGGATCCCTGTTGTCCCATCTTCTCGATAGGCTGTGTTCCGCTCCTCCACTCGTGTTACTGCTGTTAGGCGTCGGGAAAGCAACCAAGACACTCGATATGATACAAGACTATATGTATAAACATGGATAATAATATATATGCTAACGTACTTTATCTGATATTGGTATCTATAATACACAATATTTTGTTTGACTATCGATGTGATTTGAGTTCGTACTTGAGTTGTATGATTTATGTAAGATTTGCCTTTTATTTTGGGTTCTTAGAAAACGAAATTGCCAAACTAGTTTGTTTTTAATTTAACACTTGCATTTTAAATTAGATTCTTTCGATTCTCAGTTTGCATTGGTATTCTCTCACTGCATATTTATTTTCTGTTTTCTCATATTAACAAATTGTAAGATAAACCATTGCGTTTGCCGTTTTGTAGACAATCAAAAGAAATACAAAACATTGTGAAAAAATGTCTTTTTGGATCTCTTTCCCACACTGTCTCTGTCTCTCTCTGTCTCTCACCGCCGCTATCCCTTTCTTTCCAAACATAAAATAATCCAACTTAGACTAATTTTCCTCACTCTCTGCCTCTCTCTACCTCTCTGTATAAATTTACAAACTTCTACTAATAATTATTAATTAATTAATTAACCTCATATCTAATTATTTATAACTGTGATGAGTGGTGCCAAACATCTATTTAGTCTCGGTCTAATATTTATATACAAATTTACTTTTAATTACGCAATTTGCTTATTACTAAAAATTATCTGTGAAATTAACAATGTTTTTTAATTTATGCTATTATATGTACTTAGTGAAAAAATAAATTCAAATGTGAACTGTTCATTTTAATCGTGTGCTTTGTATGTGTGTCCCCTAACTATTGTTTTTCCAACTCTCTACTAAAAACAATAACTTTTCCACCCGACGAAAAATCGTTTCAAACAAGTTAATTCATTTGAAAATGATTCTTTTATTTTCCGCCCTTCAACAAAAACACCACTTAAATATAAATTATTCGATGCGTTTTTATTTCGAAGCAAAATTGAACAAATCCGTTCCAGGCAACAAAGGGAAATCTAATTGAAAATGTGTGGCATGCATTTTTCAAAAAGCATTTTTACAGAAATATTACACAGATCAATCGACAAATAAATAAATCCAATTGGCAAAAATGATAAAAAAAAAATGTTAGAGTTTAGTTGACACAAACATAAATATTGAACAGAAACAAACTAAAACGATAACCAATTTCATTCTTCAACGAGATCCATGCAGACATTTTTCTCAACACATTTGATTAGAACTTTTAATTTCATTTGAATGTGTTCTCGTTGTTTTATGAGTTATTTTTGGTTTTTAATGTAACAACATCCATTTTGTTCTCACATAAAATTCATCAAAATTTTAGGACTAAAACCATTAGTTAGCTAGTAAGTGTAACTAGGTTAAGAAGGATTTAACCTAAGGAAGGCGAAATGAAATGAAAAAGAGAAGAACCGATTTTGATATGATGATTGATTTTAGCTAATAAGCCAACCAATGTGGAAGTGAACATGTTCCTGCGGTCCATTTCGAAAATCGACGACTACAAAATGGTGAGTCCCGGCTCGAGAACTGAAATAACAACACGACCACTCCAACTACTTTAAGATACAAACGATTAAATCCCAAGCGCTTATTCTCACTTTGCTCTAATTGTGCGTGCGTGTGTGTGTCTACAAAAGTTAATCCAGTAATTTGGGCCTATTAAATAATTGCATTAATAATACATGTCCTTCGGTGTGTCTGTGTGGACGTATATGGGTGTAAAATATATATTACTTTGGTCGAGTTGCGTCCACTCTTCGTACTCTGTTTCAAAGGAATCTGTAAATTATATTTATATCTGCAACCTGTACAACTTAAGCAAGCTAATTATGTTAACATTGTCAAAGTACTTGTATTATACAAATATAAATATATATAAATATTCCCAGTACCCACACTGAAGTGTTTGATAACACATAATATTATTTTAAGTCCTGTTTTTTATTTTCGAAATCTAAGGCATATCCCGCTTACAGCTTTGTCTTCACCGCCAACCGATGTCCCGCTCAGCGAGCCAAGTGAAACTAATCGAAGCCACGAATTTATGAACTAAGATTTAGTTGTAACTTAGGCTAGACTTAAGGCTTAGGTCGGAACCACTGCACGACAACAACAACAGACGCATACAACCACCACCAGCACCACCGACATTGAAACCGCAGCCCACAAATGCCGCCCACACCATCGCTCATTCAGTTCAGTTTCTTTCGATTCGGTTCTTTCACTTAACTTCATCATTTTAAGCCACCTTATTCCAGCCAGTTTTGGGGCTCGATTAAACCTATTGAAAATGCTTACCACACACCAATAAAAACGAGAGTATTTAGGTACTATGCCAGGGCTAAGTGTAAGTACAAACTAAGAGATATCATGACAGAAAAACTAAATGGGAAAACCATTCACAATCTCCATTTGTCCAGTTCGGTTTCCGCTGTCAGGAAAACCGCTGGTAAAAAGCGGACAGCTCCGACAACCAGCGGCTGGCAAACAAAAAAACGAACAGCACATTTAATTTGCGCCATGTTAAAATGAATAAAAGAAACGTGTCATAAATAAAATGCAATTATTTGTAATAATTATTCAAATTTATTTGTTTTCACTCTGCTTAATTGGCAAGTGTTTACAATAACATTTTCCCGTTTCTGGGATTCATAAAACCATGGAGAAATATTGAATAACATGTTACTAAACCAACAGTGTTTCCAAGCGATTTTAGTTGGTTTTAGTTGATTTTTTTATGTAAATCCCATTTATTTTTTTAAATTCCCATCTCTTGTGGAATGGCATGAGTTTTAATGAACTAACTAGACATATTTTTAAGCATGCAATTTAGCGAATTCTAAGTTAATTACTATTTTTAAAGGCCATGCATTTGACTTCCACTGAGAGCTTAATATTAATCAAATTTTTGTATATTAACTTGGCAAACTGAAGCTTAGTTGATGGAAGTCACATAAAGCCTTCATTTTCTAAAAGTCCTTTTTACTCATATTTTATTGGTTTAGGATTACCCTACGAAATTTATGTATGTTTTTGAAATAACATTTTATTTCTCATAAGTTCTTTCAACACATTAAGGATTTATTAAGATATTTTTAAGTTGAACTATAAAATGTTTGCAAGCTTTTGTTTAAGAGAAAGAGACTTTACTCAAAGCTCTGAATGTATGCATAAGGTTGCCTTGCTTTTGCCCACTTCGCCTGCTCGTTATGCTTTTGTCTTGACGTGTTTTTTGCCTGCTTTTAGCCTGCTTTCTCGTTTGAATGTGCAACACGTCGCATGTGGCATTTGGTTGCATTTTGTGCAGAAATAAAATATTGATTAGCCATGACAAAATATACCATCAACCCGAACAATGCCGAGAACATTCTAAACTAGCAGAAAACCCAAGCCAAAACGAAAGTTAACCACCATAATCTCTCTATATATATACGAATATCAATATATACCACTCAGTTATACAAATAACAACTACTTCGCCTCGCCTTGCTCGCTCTTTCATACTCCAACCAAAAACAATCTTTGCAAAAGTAAAGCTAAAGGCCCTCCAAACAAAAAATCAAATTCAATTAAATAAATCGAAATGCAAGCCACCCCCCATTGAAAAGTCCCCCCAACACACAATCTAAAAAATTGAAAAGAAAAGAAAACTTGAAAGAAACCCCCTTCTCCATTCGACAAAGCGAAATTTGCATTGTAGTTGATATTGAACTCCCGCAAAGCCTCAATTTACTTCGTCTACTAATGAGAATTTTCCTCTGGCCACCATTCAACACCATTCAACACCCACAACCACGTGATTTCATCGAACGCAGGAGTACAGTGTGCAGCTTACCTTCCGTGAACAGTGGACGGATGAACGCCTGAAGTTCGACGATATCCAGGGTAAGTTGAAGTTGAACAAGAGTAGATCTATTGAAAAGACGTGGATATCTAATCCCCCGATTTCCAAATCACAGGTCGCCTGAAATATCTGACCCTGACGGAGGCGAACCGCGTGTGGATGCCCGATCTTTTCTTCTCGAACGAGAAGGAGGGACACTTCCACAACATCATCATGCCCAATGTGTATATTCGCATCTTCCCCAACGGCTCAGTGCTATATAGTATACGTATCTCGCTGACATTGGCCTGCCCAATGAACTTGAAGCTGTATCCGCTGGATAGACAGATCTGCTCACTGCGAATGGCGAGCTGTAAGTATCACATTTAAATATTATAGTAAAAATATTCCATCGTTTAAATACCCAGATTGCTATAAGCTCCTCCTCAGTTAAAGTGCATTTAAAAATTTTAAAGATACATTTCTGTACAAAAGGTTGTTACCGGTAATATAAATTATATTAAGACCATACAATTTTTTTATCTCAGTGTACCCGGACATCACCTTTAAATTTTAATTGATATACATAAATAAATATTAAATCGAGAACACTTGCCTGAATATAAAGAATTTATCCGAATTTATGTTTGTTCCATGTAGGAAGCACTTACTTACATTCCGCACGATTGAACAAACATTATTAATGAATTCTTTCTGTATCAATCGCCAATAAGTCTGCAATAAAAGAACGGATTGCCTTATGGCTTAAAAATATTATTACGGGCTTAAAAATGAATAATATATAATGTTATGTCAGAATAAATATTTGTATAATAGCGATAGTATATTTTCAATGTTAAATAAATCTCAAATGGTATATTCGACATCTGAGCCATGATGTTTATTCCATGAAAGTAATCCAATATCCAACCTTTCAGATGGCTGGACCACCAACGACTTGGTCTTCCTGTGGAAGGAGGGCGATCCCGTGCAGGTGGTGAAGAACTTACACCTACCTCGCTTCACACTGGAGAAGTTTCTGACTGATTACTGCAACAGTAAAACCAACACTGGTACGTATGTTCAGAGTGTGTGTTCCACAGTGTTCCTTCATCCGATTTTTGCCAACAATATAATATAATTAACTATTCTCCTATTTACTCGTACTCGGCTTGTTACGTTTCCTCGCTGCGTTGCGTATTTTGTTTGCATTTATAATAAGTGTTCCCTTGAGATTGCATGCCAAGTGGTTTAACTTTAGCTCTAACCATATCGTAAACGTTGGGTCCCAACTGGAAAATATTATAAACGGACCCATAACCACTTCATAGCACACACATACACCCCCAATTACCCACACCCCCTAACACACACATTTATTTATAAAAGGACGATATAGCGAATTTCATAAGATGCCGTTTACACATGCGCCATTTCAATGAGCATATCGTTTTGGGCCGTTATCAATGCCCGAAACGCATAGAACCAACTTTTTACGATGTAATTCGCACACTTGCACACACGTGCCCCTCTCTCTATAAATATATATATGTATATATATACACTAAACCCACAGCCACAGCAAAAACCCACACCCATACCCGTACACATCGTTTACCTTGCCGTTTTTTATGAGCACTTTGAAATCTGCGCGCGCTTTAAGTAAATGTTTACCTTGGCGAACAACTATTCAGTCGAGGACGAGGCGACGGCATCGAGGGGATTCCCCATCGAATGCGAAACGGAAAATGAAGGCAAAAATGGCAAAAGCCGTACGGAAAGTAAATTAATCGAGGAAATTGTCTGCGACGTTGTTTAAACTTGCACAAAGACGCTGCACCAAAGATGATGGCGACGAGGATGTGGATGTAGATGCTGAGGAAGTGGAAATGGAGGCAAACAAGGAGGGCAGATTTTTCCACAAGTTGAGTTGGCAAATTGTGTGTCAGCATATTAGGATAGTTTACGGCAGGCAGAGCAAACAGAATCGCGTATTTATCTAGTGGCAGCCGTACCTAAATCAAGCCAAAACCTGCTGACACGAAGTTTGTTTGTTTACCAATTAGCGAACGCAAGCCAAAGACTATCTTTTCGTAGGGCCATCATACCCATCATCCATCCACAAATAAGTTAGCATGAGCCTGAAATTCATCACTCCCGATAGAAAAAAAAAAAAAAATAAATAAAACCAAATCTCATTCTTAGCTCAACTATATATAATCTAAACTAAATATGACTTTTTCCACCTAGACGTTGCGTAGTTGTTGCAATTTTAACTCTCGCCTTGAACTTAGTTGCTCACATAAAGTTTATTAATTTTATATCTTCTATGAGCGTTGAACGGAATTAAAGGGCGAAGCGAACGAGCTCTAGAAACGAGCTCAAGTGTCGAGTCTCGGCGAAGAGAATGAGGGCCATCGCTTGATTGATGATGGCCAGTTGCAAAGCCAGAGCCCAAGGCAAAAGCCAAAGCCAAAGCCGCAGTGCGAGCTGTTCCAGATGCGATTATACGGAGAGCGTACCAGACCCAGACCCAGACCAAAGACCCAGACCCAAAACCCAGACCAAAGAGCCGAGCAAATAAACCACACGCGCAGCAGTCAAATGCAAACAGGGCAAATCAAAACCGGCATATACAGACACTGAGAGAAATTTTCATGAACAGCACACGCTCAACGAACAAAATCGCCGATATCGAAAATGAGAAACCAAAAAACAAAAAATATGAGAATGTAAAATAATAAACAACTTTGTCTTGAAGAGTATGGAACGCTTTGCCAACAAATTAACGGAAATGAAGCACAAGAAAGGGGCGTGGGGCCGTCGCAAAGGGGCGGGGCAGTTGGCGTGGCAGCAGCGCCTGTCGAGCGGAAGCGAACGAAATGAAAATCAGTAGCTACAACAAGAAACAGCACACAAAAGCCGTCGAACTTCATTTCCGTTAAGATTTTTGTTGCAAAAGTCAGAAATTGAATTCATGTTGATACTTTTTGCCTATGATGCAATTTTTCATTTGATTTTATAATTTTCCACTTTCTATGTGCCACCACCCCCCTTTCCACCACTGAGTTTTTGTGTTTTCCTGTAAATACATTATGTCTTCTTAAGCCCGCCGCCTAACGCCACCCCCTCCCCTCTTTGTATGATATGTTTTACCCACTTTTTATTTCCTTCTGTTTTCGGAAAACCCACTTTTTGTACATACCCAAAAAGACTCGACCCGAAAAAATGGTCTGTAAATGTGTTTTAATTTCTTTTCTTGGCAAAATTTCCGAGCAAGACACTTTTTATGTTTTCTCTTTATTGGATGGCATTTCTTTGTACCATGTATTGGATATCTATCTGTGTGTATATACCTACTAAAACTGTGTGTGCGTGAAATTTAAGCAAAGCGAAAGCGAAAGCCAAAAGCTGCAAAACGACATCCTCCCGTACATTTTGAGTTTGACACGTTTTATATACCTTGTATACTCATAGGTGAATACAGTTGCCTCAAAGTCGATCTACTATTCAAGCGAGAATTCTCATATTACTTAATACAAATTTATATACCATGCTGTATGTTGGTCATTGTATCATGGGTATCATTCTGGCTGGATCAAGGAGCAGTGCCGGCGCGTGTGTCACTGGGTAAGTCCACCAATTTCATTCTAATATACTTGTTTTTAATAAGAAATAAATAAAATAGGTGTTGGAATATTAATATGAGTATTTTTTATTTTAAACATGCAATTATTGTATTTATTAATACTCTTCAAACTAGTGTGCAATTAAGTGCAAGTTTCAAAGTGATCAACTGTCTAATAAAATCCCAATATTCTTCACTAAGAATTATAATTTGGTTGTGATTTAAACTCACAGGATTAGATGTGGGTCAAATTTTAGTTTCCAAATGTCCTACTTAACTAATTTAGAGCTTTAGCCTGATTTCACCATTAATTATTTTTAGGTGACCTAAATTTTAGAGACCATCCTTATGTTACGTAATCATGTGGGAGGGGGTTCAGCTGTACTCCTGCGAACTTATTTGATTTATTTCGAATGAAGATTTGTTTACTTGTGGAGGTTCAAAAACGTTAAACCAAATCAAGATCGAGGCCTTTTTGAATATGATATTGTAATCATAAGATAATCTAAGACTTGCCCGCCATTATAAAATGTCATGTAACTTAAGCTAAGATTTAGTGTAAGGTCGTAACACTTGATCGACTGTGGCCGATACCATTGCCTAACCCCTTCGCATCGCGTAATTACCTTGCAGGTGTGACCACCCTGCTGACCATGGCCACCCAGACGTCGGGCATCAACGCCTCCCTGCCGCCCGTTTCCTATACCAAGGCCATCGATGTGTGGACTGGCGTGTGTCTGACGTTCGTGTTCGGGGCCCTGCTCGAGTTCGCCCTGGTGAACTATGCATCCCGTTCAGGTTCGAATAAAGCTAGTAATTGAAATTTTATATGCTTCTTAACCACATATAAATGTTAATTAATCGATGGTGTTTATCTTTTTTCTGTTGTTTTTATTGTACTGAGTGATAACGAATATACGTACATATCTATATAGTAGCCATATATAAATGTCTACGCATACTGTACATACAACAATGAAACTCTCTCAACCAACGCCACACACTCTCACACACACACGAGTACTCTCACTGTGGACCGTTATATCAGAACACTCACACACGCAGGACCGGCGTGTCACACAACAACAACAACAAGTTTCGGGCTATATCCTTATATGCAAAGAGTACTCCTAACGTACCTACATATCTATATGTCTGATGCAAAAGCCCAACGATTTAGTAGTAGTACTTTTGATCGATTTTTTCTCTTATTTACTTTTCACTTTGATATCTAACCACAAAATGGGTCCATCGTGTGTATCGAAACTAATCCAACTTTTTGTTTTACTCTCTTATTTCATTGCGCGCCCACCATTCATCGACATCCATACGAACACCCACACCCAACATGCACTCTACACGAATACCAAATACCACTAACTTTAAACGCGTTTGAAAAAAAATCAAAAAAAAAACCAAAAACTGTAAACAAATTGGTCGAATTTCCTTTCGAATTACAACGAATTCTGTTGCTGTTGTATAACAATGCTTGTAAATAACTACAAACTGTGTGTATATCCACCGATCTTTGTGGTAATCGAATTATAATTTCCATATGATTTTAACATCCTGCGTACCCCTGACTTCGTCGATCTAATTGCACTTGATTTATTGTATGGTTTCCTGTTTGACTTATTTGATTTACTTCCTTTTATATTTTTGTGGACATTTCGAATCGTTTAACGTTTTCTGTATATGTGACTCTTTCTCTCTGTCTTTCTCTTTCTGACTGTCTCTATCTCTGTCTCGCCTAATACTATCGCTGTCTAACTGTTATTAATCGTGTTTAACTGTGCATCTAAACTAACACACCCAATAAAACCTGTAAAAAATCCAAAAAACAAAAACCAAAAACCAAAACTAAAACCAACCAACTGCCGTGGAACAAATAAATTCTTGTCAAACATCTTCCATCACATGCAACATATATCCTATGATATATACGGATCGGGCCGCAGACATGCATAAGGAGAATATGAAAAAGAAGCGCCGCGATCTGGAGCAGGCCAGTTTAGATGCCGCTTCAGATCTGCTCGATACAGATAGCAATGCAACGTTCGCAATGGTACTTACCTCTTGATATATCTCTTTGAAATCCAAACAGCTTATGGTTTATTGGGGGTCTTAGTTAGAGTTGGAAAGATATCAGAAGAGTTGGTGGAGGGACACTATCTACCTGTGTTATCACCTTCTCTCCACATTTCTAACTAACTTTAATGTTTTCATTTTGATCTTTAAATTGGCTTTCTCCTTTGGGGGTAAGAGTATGGGGTCATTATTTTGAATTTATTTTTATTGTGTATTAAATAAGGAAACTAAAGCAACTCACTTTGGTTTTTAAACAGAAAAAAAACCAACTCTAATTGGCTAAAGCAACATTTTTATGATAAAACTATTAAAACAACTATTTCCTTTCATATTTGCCTCTTTTTTATTACCACAAAAACAAACCAAAAACAAATGCAAAATTCAACAACTTTTTTCAAACGTGCTCATCCCAACTACAACAACAACAACCAAATACCACCCCAACATCAACAACCAACCACAAATAAACCTGAAAAACTGCAACTCAAAAAAAATAATAAAAAAACCAACCTTCCACTACCAACCATCACCGAACATCGCTGGCAACCAAAACAAACCACTCGACCGGAATTGAATTGAAAAATTTGCGACGAAATTAAATCAAATTACGCACATGCCAATGCACTTGCCCCACCCGAATCATCGTACAATCGTACAATCGAACCACCGAACCACTGAACCACCCAACCACCTGCGCCCTTCATTTACATCCGACTACAATCGCAACTTTCATGTCAAACGGCGTCGCAATTTACGCGCGGTGGCGGCCAACAGAAACCGCTGGTCCGCCATCCCGGTGATCCGCTGGCCCTGGAAAAGCGGCTCCAGTGCGAGGTGCACATGCAGGCCCCGAAGCGACCCAACTGCTGCAAGACCTGGCTATCCAAGTTCCCCACAAGGTAACTGCGGGATTCCGCATCCCGAACCACTCGATCCTACCTTAGTAGCGACCTCGTTTAGTCCACCAAATCTCTATGTATCTGTGTTCCGTAGTAGTTGATGGATTTACTTTTTGATGTTGTGAACATGTACTATTCTACTCTTTATATCTCTTTCACTAACTCTTGTTGACTTTTTGCTATCACATAACTCAACAGTCATTGAAAAAAACCTGTGAAAGATACCGAAACGAAAAACCAAAGAATACCAAACCCGATATCTGCCGCTTGCTTGCCGTTCGTTCGATTCTGTTTGCCCGCTGTCTTTTGTTGCCAAATCAAATAAAAATAATGACGTGGTTTAATTGCTTGCTGAACTGAGCCAAGTATATGTGAAATAAAATTCAATTTCTATATGTTTTTTAATTGAGTTGAATATTGAAAACCGTGAATCGGCAGCACTTTTCGTGGCTGTGCGACGCATTATGCTTTGCCTTTTTCAGTAATTTTGAGTGTGATTTGTTTGTTTTAAAATACTAATTTTGTTTGTAGACCTTCGAGATTCGATTTCCCCCCGAAATAGTTTTCCCGACTAACCGGCATCCTGACCCACCGATGCTAGCTCTCCCATTGTATGTAGATATTAATTCCCCAGAATAAAGCGCACTTTTCGTTTCCAGCACGTAGTGTTCGAATCCCCTTTTAAAACAAACAAATTATTTTGCCAAATTTGGAACTTTTCAAAAAGAAGAAAACAAAAGAATAAACCAATCAAGTAATCACAAAAATCAAAAAGCCAATCTTTAGATGATCAATTAATCTGCATTTTCGTACTTGTTTAATATGCAAAGACAATGTTCTAGATCCAAGAGAATCGATGTTATATCTCGGATAACCTTCCCGCTGGTCTTCGCCCTGTTCAACCTGGTCTACTGGAGCACATATCTCTTCAGGGAGGAGGAGGATGAGTAAATGCCGTTACCAATTGCCAAACACCAATTACTTTATAGAAGAGTTGGCCCTGTTGGCCAACACGAATGTACTAACCTATTTCTTTCATTCTTTTCCATTTCGGTTGTCTTCATTTCATGCTTTGTGTTGCTTATGGCTTTGTTGGCTTCATTTCCAATTTGGTTGATTTCTTGATTGACACCTTGATTGAATGGTTTAAACCGATAAAGGACCTTCTAAGGCGCGTCTCTGAAATCCAGTGGCTATGTAGAATCTAACATGAAATTAACTAATTATACCGTTAACGAAATCGAGGGATACGTTACGATAATGCTATATGTATGGTTATGTCTCGGATCAGTGCAGAATAGTTAAGATCGGTATCCGGCAAGGCTTCAACGCACTTCCACTAAAGAAAAAACAAATAATGTTTGGTGAATGACAAAATTATAGTTAATTGTAAGTTGAATTGATCAAGAGTGACTGCATAGTAGATAATGTTATTAATAATTATACGATACACACACTGACACACACCACAACACTTGTTTGACTTGATTTGTTCTGAGGATGATCCAAATTGTTACGAATTGATTAATTATTTTAGCTGGTAATCGACGATAATCGAGTTTTGTTCCGGACTCTAGCTTAGTTCTAAAAAAAATTGCAATTGATTTGTACTTAAATGCGTTAAGTTAGTTAAGCCGCAAACAGCGAGAGGAGGTCGTAGATAATTCGACGTTTGTAAATATGTCATACAATAAGTTTTAAGCGAACTAGTTTAAATCAATTCTAATTGTAAAAAGCGTGTAGATAAATTTAAGTTTAGTCGATAAACGAACAACTAACCGAAGCGAGAAAATCTAGGTAAATTCAATTTAATTATGTTCACCATCGAAGTAAATAAAAATCGAATCGACTCGAAAATATCGAAGAATCCTTCAAAGCACACAGAAAACAAAAACAGAATTTTATTTTCGCATTATTTGCCCAAACTACTCTTAAATGATAAGTTCTACTGAAACTGGTGGGTATCTGCAAGTTATTTTTCCTAAAAATTTTATTAGAAACTTTCTTAATTATTTATATAAAGCTTGCTTTTGATTTAAGAGTTGAATATTAATAGTAGTTAAATTGTTCTTGTACTCACGGGGAATTAAGCCCCCAAATTCTAATTCCCTTTTGATTTGAATCCTTAGAATATTAATATAAATTAACAATTACCTAATTATGTATTGGGTCGCAGAGGCCACTTAGCTAGTTAATTTCCTTAATTAGACTTACAAAATAAAAATATACAACATGCAAACCATAAACCAATTAACAGACAATACAAAATGTTTTATCATGTAGTAAAAGTCCCCAAAGAACTTAATGAATACTACACCTAAATTTACTGAAATCAGTAATATAAGACATAAATTAGATCAGATATATACAGTTCTTTTCATATCCAAAAATGTCTTTGGTTATTTAAGTGCCTTTTGTATGCCAAGAAGATTTCTCCTCCACTTTCTCCCCACTATAACTCTCTTCTCTCCTTTTAATAACTCTACTCCTTTCACACTGAAGATCTTCCCTAAGCCCAATTAGAGAAATGCACTAACCGATACCATAAACTATGGAACTCTAATTTTAGAACTATAATTAAAGTGAATTCTACATAGCAACAACAGAAACAGAACCAGAACCACAATAACAACTTAAATCCTTCAGATAAAATTAAATAAAATGTTTTAGTAGTTTTTTAATATTTTTATTAACTTGAAGCCTGTTTTATTCTCATGTTTGTTTTAACTTTTTCTTTGGTTTTGGAAATGCTTTTTGTTTGCTATCATTTATAATCTAAAGGTAAGAAATTAAACGTAAAAATGAAATCAAAAATCAATTGAAACTTATTCTAATATATAGACACAACACAAGGCACCCTGCATAATAATTGTTGTCATTAAACAAGCGTCATAAGTACGATCAAAACATAAAGAAAACCGAAAACCGAAAACGGAAAATATTTATAGATACTTTCATGTTGTAAAAGTTGTGCCAAGCAAAGAGAAACCAAAAACTAGTAAAAGAATATTGAAAGAGATCGCAAATTATAACTATAACTCTAGCTATAGTTGTATTGTATATGAAGCTATTGAACATACAGGGTTTTTAAATGTGAGCATATAGTTGATGAACCAGAAGACGATCGAAAATTCGAAGAAAGTAGATGGCAGCCGGATTGATTGGGCTGATTGATTGAAATGCGTTGATTAATGTACTAGAAGAAAATAATCACGAAGACGGCAGAACAATTAAATTAGGTCATACACAATGGGAGGGCGAAACACTGTTTTCGGCATTTATTTTTAGTGGAAAAACATACTTAGGTTGTGTGCTGCTCTTCATTTGCCGTTCTCCAATTCGGTCAATTATCATTTTTTCCGGCAAATCGTTTAGCAGCGGCAGTCCAGTTCAATGTAAATAGTTTGGGTCAGAACATGTAAATGTCATTTAATGGTTAGGTTAACGAGAAACACAACTACGGGAAATCGTAACACGAAATGTGCACAACTTTATATATAGATGCGTTCCAAAAAGACTTACAGGTTTTGATTAACAATGAGAAGCATAGAGATTAAATCATTTACCAATGCGATGTAAACACGAGAAGAACTATGCGAACGAGTAGCTCCTAAGTTAACGTATGTGTAGATCCTAAGAGGCAGTTCGAAACCAGACTAGATAAAGCATTCACATAACTAAGCTACTAAGCGCCAAGGCAAATTGCATTCACCACCCACTATCCGAACTCACTTGAACCACCCACTCACCCCTTTCACCACTCACTCGATGTTTAATCTTTACTAACGACACAAAAGAAATCAAAACGACACCCAAACCGAAATCGAAATCGAAAACGAAATCTTTGCACAGTTTGAGGGGGCAAACGAGTTTGAGTAATGCAAGTTAAAATTTAGATAAATCATGACACATATCTTCCAAAAAGGGGGCGGCTCATGGCCCATTTATAACAATCAAGCAACTCAAACTATAATTTCTAGATATGAAGTGTAAATACAAACGACAAACGACAAACAACCAAATCATTCGAGTCGAAATTGCAATCGATGGCGAGAGAAAATCGAATCAATAAACACTGAAAATCACCTTACTTTATAGAGCTAAGTCAGGACATGCACACTCAAAGTCAGAAAGAAATCCATGATCCCCAGACAATGAGAGGATTTAGCACAGATCACAGTCACAAGTATAGTCTTAAGACCGAATCAATTCGGAAGGAAACATCGCATGCATTTCACTGTAGTGCAATCCAATCCTGGATCATAACCCAAAACGCAGAAAGAAACAACGCCAAAACCACAAACGAAATAAATTCTAAACGTACATTTAGACCCGGCAATAACACATCATAAGCCGTCGGTGAGAAATTAAAACAGCAAATCAAATGCCCAAGTGAAAGATTAGTAGCATAATTTTACAAAATAGTTGAAATAATTGTTGTCAGCCGAAAGGAAAGAAAAAGTCCTAAAACGGAAACCAGAAAAAAACGAAATAATTGTGTAAAACCCCCAGAATAATGATGTTTGTGAAATGTTTATAAATAAATGATGCAAAACGAAATGAAAGAATACACAAAAGAGAGCCTTTCTATTCTGTCTAATATTAATTTCTTTATTGGTTCTCTAGAGCGTAGAAGAAATAAGTATGTAAACTATTCCGAAGACATTCAACTCCTATCTTTAACTTGCAAGAAGTGGGCTTTGTTGGCCGTTCGATTGGTCTTGCCATTGGCACTGCGCTTCAGATCTTCGACGATGATGGCTCCTCCATTTAATTGTTTGTATTTGGAATCCGTCCGCCTCTTTACATGGTCTACAACATCCTGGGCCTCGAGTTCACTGCCCAGTTTCTTCACCACTGCTGCGGCAGCCTCGTCTCCATAGATGTCACTCCACACCCCGAAGACACAGACCTCTGCCACTTGTGGCATCTCTGAGATGATACTCTCAATATCGTTGGGATAGTACATGATGTTCTGGTACTTCAGCATCTCTTTCTTGCGCTCCACAATGTAAAGGAAACCATCGCGATCCATATATCCCAGGTCCCCGGAGTGATACCATCGCTGCGGATCGCGAATGGCGCGTGATTCCTCTTGGTTGCCATAGTATCCCGACCAGTGCTGATTGTTCATGATGCAGACCTCTCCCAGTTCGTCGGGTCCAAGTGATTCGCCCTCATCATTGATAATCTTAGCCCTAAGACCGCTGACCAATCGACCAACTGAGCCGACCTTCTCGTCAAAGTGCAAGTTGATGGCGGCCATGGCGCCTAGCTCCGTGAATCCATAGACAAACTGCAGACAGTCCTTCCTTAGGCGACTCCGAATAGCTTGCTGAACCTCCACGGCAGCCCGAGATCCTCCAAACATGTAGCAACGTATGCTAGACAGGTCGGAGGTCTCGAACTCTGCACAATTCATCATCATGGCCATCGCGGAGGGCGGCTGGATAACCCAGGTAACCTGGTACTCCTCGATTACTCGCAGGGCAAAGGCAGGATCGAAGACATTATCGGCGATGATGCGGGTTGTGCTGAACACCCCAGAGGTAATAGTGGTTAGCAGCCCGGTGATCCAGTCGAGGGTGTTGTGGGAGTACTGGATGTCAGCGGTGGTCAGATGGCTGGGGGAACAAAGTGTGGAAGGATTTAGATGGGTTCAGAGCAACTCGTTCGAAATCTTACTCATTGCACGCGAGGATCTGTCGACTGTTGGTAATGGTCACCGCCTTGGGAGTTCCAGTTGTGCCCGAGGAGCAGAGAATGGCCAAAGTCTGATCATTGCCATGCTCCAGTTTAGCTGGCTGGAAGTTTTCCTCGATTGGCGTGGCCAGAACTTCATCGATTTGAATGGAGTCCGAAGGATGATTTCGCATGGTAACAATCTTTACATCCAGGTGAGCAGTGGCGTCTCTCACCTTCTCAAACTCATCCCCATCGCAGAAAATGATTCGTGGCTTGGTGATGTTGTAGATCTTTCCGATGGTGTCCCGGTCGTAGGCGGTGTTGAGCGAGTGGAAGGCCGTTCCATTGAAGAAGCAGGCGTAGGCTACGGCCAACATGTGGGTGGTGTTCCGGCCAATGATTCCCACAATATCGGACTGAAGTATTCCCTCCGATCGGAAATAGCTGGCCACCCGCATCGAGTTCGCATGCAACTCCTTTCTGGTCAGCACTGTTTTCTCCGTAGCCGAGATCTAGAAACTTTTAAACTTAAGTCTCCTAATCAACAAACAACCTTCGGAAGCACCCACCTGGGCTATAAGCTGCGGATGACGCCGCATCTCTTGGAAAATGATCTCTCCGATGGACAAGTGTGGATCAAAATAATGCTTCACTTGATCACCAATCCAGATCTTATGATCAGCGTCGTAGGAACTTGCTGGGAGGTACGGCATTCTGTTAAAAGGTCTACGTTGTCTTCCCAGTAAAGTCAAAATGTAACTGCTGACGATTCGCGGTAGCAATCTCTTTTTTATATGTTCCAAAGCTCTCATACGGTTATCAAATTTAGTAGGGGTAGCAGTAGGTTATCTACATTTATGGGTTGTGCTCGTATAATCTTTATATTTATCGCATATATCTGTAAGTTATTTATTATTTCAAGTTAAAATAATCACAACAAATTTAAATGACACTTTCTCTTACCAAAATGATTATTTCTTAATTCAAAATTATGCACTCTAGTTTAATTAGTTGCCTATTTTACAACCGTATCTCACTATAGTGGAAAAGTTCGTAATCTATTTACGTAAACTTACTTGCCCCCATAAAAGTCATGGGATATGTTGTTTTTTGCAGGTAACTTCTTTGCCAAATGCTTATCAGCTAAGCCCACGAAGAGATTTCATTACATATCAGTTAAACTTTCTGTCTTATCATCGTTGTTCTGTGGGGACCAACCCAAAGTTTATGACAATTCACTCTGAGTTCGCAATCTTGATTCCGATCTGTTTTTACCTGACTTTGAAGATGACACTCTTATCTTAAATTACACGGTCATTGCGACGTAACAGTTATTTTCGTTTCTACTTATAGGTCGCCAATTTGGCTAGGACAGGCCCACAGTAAGTCTTACTTTTGTGGTAACTCATTTGCAAAATTGTTGGATACTTCTAAAACTTAAATTTTTGATGTTTTAAGAAATTTTAAATACTTTACAAATCGACCGCAATGTAAAGTAAAATAAAGAGCATTTAGTTCTTAAATTTCACATGTAGGTGGCGCAAGGCATCTAGTGTGGAAATTCACATGCAGGTGACGCGACACCGATTTTAGTTCATCGATTAAAGAATTTAATTTATTAAAAAAGTCCTAAACGTATTTAAACCGTTTGTTGATCTAAAAATGAGCTAAAATTTACAAATATACATACATAAAATTACATACCGCATTAAAAAGCTAACCTTAAATTATATCACGTCGGAAAGTGACCCAATTCCCATATTTTAAAATATTTTCCAATCCCTTCGAACATAAATAAAATTCAGAACAGAAGGAGACCCCCCCTTCTCGGTTTCAAAAACTCGATTTTTTATTTAATTCGAACCTATATCTATTCAACAAATGTTCCTTTCAAATTTCAAGTGAAAATTTAAAAAGTTTTGAAGATATAGCCGATTTATGGTGGAAGCGTCAGGCGACGGCGAGAGCATCTCAAAACTATAAACGCGTTTTTCTTGAAACAGTATTTTTACGACTGGCGCATGAGGTTACTCAAAACTATTAATCCAATCAGTTTCAAATTTTAATACGTTATTCTATACATATATAGCTATGGGATGAACTCGGAATCAAATCAGTGAAAATCTTCTTTACTTTTCAACTTGATTTGTGGCTAAAAAAGGCGATTTAAAAACAAAATTTCAAACGTACCCCAGTTTTTTAATTTCTGTGCGAAATTAATAATATTAGTTCATGCCGGAGCAAACATGATGTTTCAGTGAGCGGAAATCACATGCGCCACCGAAAGAAGGTCTTTTGTTTAATGACAAAAAACAAAAAAAAAATGATGTACCATTTTTGTCTTCTCTTTAAAGACTTCAAATTCACGCATTTCCACAGAGAACGGCTTGGCAATCAACAGGTGAAATTAAATATCGTTGACCTTTAATTAAACCTGCCGACAGTCAAGTATGCAACCTTTCAGCCTTTCAGTTTATTGGTTTTAGAAGAAATAAGTATGTAAACTATTTCGAACACATTCAACTCCTATTTTTCACTTGCAAGAAGTGGGCATTGTTGGCCATTCGATTGGTCTTCCCATTGGCATTGCGCTTCAGATCTTCGACGATGATGGCTCCTCCATTTAATTGTTTGTATTTGGAATCCGTCCGCCTCTTTACATGGTCCACAACATCCTGGGCCTAGAGTTCGCTGCCCAATTTCTTCACCACGGCTGCGGCAGCCTCGTCTCCATAGATGTCACTCCACACGCCGAAAGCACAGACCTCTGCCACTTGTGGCATCCCTGAGATGATACCCTCAATATCGCTGGGATAATACATGATGCTCTGGTACTTCAGCATCTCTTTCTTGCGCTCCACAATGTAGAGGAAACCATCGCGATCCATGTATCCCAGGTCCCCGGAGTGATACCATCGCTGCGGATCGCGAATGGCGCGGGATTCCTCTTGGTTGCCATAGTATCCCGACCAGTGCTGATTGTTCATGATGCAGATCTCTCCCAGTTCGTCGGGTCCAAGTGATTCACCCTGATCATTGATAATCTTAGCCCTAAGACCGCTGACCAATCGACCAACTGAGCCGACCTTCTCGTCAAAGTGCAAGTTGATGGTGGCCATGGCGCCTAGCTCCGTGAATCCATAGTTAAACTGCAGACAGTCCCTCCTCAGGCGACTCCGAATAGCTTGCTGAACCTCCACGGCAGCCCGAGATCCTCCGAACAAAAAGCAACGTATGCTAGACAGGTCGGAGGTCTCGAACTCTGCACAATTCATCATCATGGCCATCGCGGAGGGCGGCTGGATTATCCAGGTAACCTGGTACTCCTCGATTACTCGCAGGGCAAAAGCGGGATCGAAGACATTATCGGCGATGATGCGGGTTGTGCTGAATACCCCAGAGGTAATAGTGGTTAGCAGGCCGGTGATCCAGTCGAGGGTGTTGTGGGAGTACTGGATGTCAGCGGTGGTCAGATGGCTGGGGGAACAAAGTGTGGAAGGATTTAAAAGAGTTCAGAGCAACTCGTACGAAATCTTACTCATTGGACGCGAGGATCTGTCGACTGTTGGTAATGGTCACCGCCTTGGGATTTCCAGTTGTGCCCGAGGAGCAGAGAATGGCCAAAGTCTGATCGTTGCCTTGCTCCAGTTTAGCTGGCTGGAAGTTTTCCTCGATTGGCGTGGCCAGAACTTCATCGATCCGAATGGAGTCCGAAGGATGATTTCGCATGGTAACTATCTTTACATCCAGGTGAGCAGTGGCGTCTCTCACCTTCTCATACTCATCCCCATCGCAGAAAATGATTCGTGGCTTGGTGATGTTGTACATATTTTCGATGGTGTTCCGGTCGTAGGCGGTGTTGAGCGAGTGGAAGGCCGTTCCATTGAAGAAGCAGGCGTAGGCTACGGCCAACATGTGGGTAGTGTTCCGGCCAATGATTCCCACAATATCGGACGGAAGTATTCCCTCCGATCGGAAATAGCTGGCCACCCGCATCGAGTTCGCATGCAGCTCCTTTCTGGTCAGCACTGTTTTCTCCGTAGCCGAGATCTAGAAGCCTTCAAATTGTACTCTTCTATTTAACAAACAACCTTTGGAAGCACCCACCTGGGCTATAAGCTGCGGATGACGCCGCATCTCTTGGAAAATGATCTCTCCGATGGACAAGTGTGGATCAAAATAATGCTTCACTTGATCACCAATCCAGATCTTATGATCAGCGTCGTAGGAACTTGCTGGGAGATACGGCATTATGTTAATCTTGTCTTGCCAGTAAAGTAAAATTGTAAAGCCTAGTACTGAGATCGAAAACGAGTTCGCGAGCGGAAAAGCTTTAATCTTTCCAGTGTGGCTGCATTTTTGAGAGTTATTCAGAATTAAGCGTCCTACGGTTGTACTGTCAATCAGCTGGGTTTGTTGACAGGCAGTTAAAATTCAAAAATCTTATTTGCTGGAAAGAGCTTTTAAAAAATATTATCAACTACCTTGGCAAGACAAAGAAATTAAAAAACAATACAATTTAAATTTAACAGTTGATTTTTTAATTTACTGATATTTATTTGCTAATTTAAAGGATACACTTAGTTCTAACAGGCGAATTTTCGAAGTTTTTTATTGTGATTTTTCGTACATTTTTGACCTAAGAAGCCCTTTGCTCTGACAAGAGGCACCTCAAAAGATTAAATTTTAAAGCCTACTATTCAGATCGACGAAATCCGTTCGTCAGCTTTGAGAGAGAGCGAACGCTTTTCGTCAGGCTCTTTTTTCAACCTGGTACTCAGATCGACGAAAACAATACTAGAAAATTGTATAGCTATCCCAGTCTGCTGAATTGAAGCGAAAAAATTAAAGAATTTAATCGCCAATTTGGCTAGGACGGGCCCACAATAAGTCCCACGTTTGTGGTAATTCATTTGTAAAATTGTTGGAGACTTCTAAACTTAAATTTAGTAGGGTGTCTACTTTTTTGATACTTCAAGGTATTTTAAATACTTTAAAAAACGAACGCAATGTAAAGTAAAATAAAGTTCTTAGTTCTTAAATTTCACAGGTAGGTGGCGCAAGGCATCTAGTGTGAAAATTCACATGCAGGTGACGCGACACCGATTTTAGTTTATCGGACTCCGTTAAGGAATTTTTTTATTCAAAAAGTCCTAAACTTATTTAAATCGTTTGTTGATCTAAAAATGTGCTTAAAAATTTAGAAATATTTTAATACTAATCTTAATTAATATCACGACGGAAAGTGACCCAATTCCAATATTTTAAAATTTGTTCCCATCCAATCTAACGTAAATAAAATGCAAAATTAAAACAAGCATTATTTTATAACAAATAACGGTTGTCGAGAGCTTAGGTTAACAATCATCTGATTCGCCAAACGTTTTTCCACAGAGATATCGTGTCAAGCGAACGGCTTGGCAATCAATAGGTGAAATTAAATATCCGGACACTTTAACTGCTAAATTGCCGACTAATTTTTCCAATTTCGTTGACCTTTAAATAGACCTGCCGACAGTCGAGTATGCAACAGTTGTAAACCGCGCGTGCACCACGATGTTGGACCTCGACGGCAATCCCTCGACCAGCTACGATCCCGATCAGAAGGTCTGGAGTGGCTCCGGCCAGCAGAGTCTCTACAACGACGAACTGACCGTGGGCCAGATCATCTTCCGGCAGCTGCAGCGGCAGCCCCAAAGGATATTCCAGATCTCACACTCGGATAACACGCGGCTGACCCGATCGCAGATGCTGCAGAATGCCGCCAAGGTGGGCTGCTATCTGCGGGATCGGGGCTTCAAAAAGGAGACAGACCTGGTGGGCCTCATGGCCCGGAATTCCACTCATGTGGGAGCAATGGCCTACGGATGCCTATTCAACGGCACTCCCTTCCACGCCGTCAATCCGAATCTGGAACAGAAGACCATCGCTAGTCTCTACAAGATCACCAAACCACGCATCCTGTGCTGCGATGTGGCTGACTACGAAAAGATCAAGGATATAGGAGCCTCGCTGGGAGCTCTAATCCTGACAGTTAACGGAAAGATGAAGGATGTAATGAGTGTGTCGGATCTGCTGCAGAATCCCCTCCCTGAAGACTACGAACCCGCCCAGTTCCAGCGAGGAGTCGATCGCAACATGGCCATACTCTGCTCCTCGGGCACCACCGGAACCCCCAAGGCGGTGACCCTCTCCAACAGCCGCAAACTGTTCGAGATTCACAGGTAAAGTGTTCACAAAAAAAATTATGGGTATTTATAAGACTGAACTGGAATAACGAATATAACCAAGAGTCACCAAGAATTGCAAAACTCTGGGAATCTATTAGAATAAACTAAATAATTTAATTTAAAATAATACGTACAAGTTGGGGTCACCAGGAATTCTAAACAGTGGATTGGGTATCGTTTTTTTAAGATTTATCCCCTATGATTCTTACCACTTGTCAGTATTACTTTAATTTGCTTCCCCTAAAGCCGAAAAAAATTAAAGTTGGGGATTCCCAAAGACTCTAATCTCTTATTTGAATTCCAGTTACCTAGGTTCCGACGACGTTCAGTATGCTCCCAGCACCTTGGATTGGCTGACAGGTCTGATTACCCTGGTCACAGCTGGAGTTTTTGGCACTGTTCGTCTGATCTCCAGCGAAATGTTCAGTACCGCCCACTTCATGGATATGTGTGAGCAGCACGAGATCTCTTGGACCATCATGGCCAACTCCCATGTAGCCATGTTGGCCAATTGCCCAGATGCACGAGCCCAAAAGCTGCGAAGCCTTAGGCATCTGCTTTTCGCTGGTGGCCATTGTCTGGTGGCCACCTTGAAGAAGATGCAGTCCTTCCTGCACGGATCGGGAATTCTAAGGAATGCCTATGGCCTAACCGAGGTGGGCACACTGATATCCTACAACTACGACACCCAATTTAAGCCCACTTCAGTGGGTCGCTTAGTGGCGAACATTCGGGTGAAGATTGTGGACTCCTTGGGGCAATTGCAGGGTCCAAAAGGATTGGGTGAGGTGCTCTGCCATAATGGACAACCCTGGAGCGGATATGTGGGAAATCCTGGGGCCACGGCAGAGATGAGAGATTCAGCGGGATGGTTTCACACCGGGGACGTGGGTTACTTCGACGAGGATCACTACCTGCACATTGTGGAGCGCAAGAAGGACATGCTGAAGTACCTGGGCATGATGTACTATCCGCACGAGGTTGAAGAGGTCATCGCCCAGATGCCCGACATTGCCGAGGTCTGTGTTTTTGGCATCTGGCGGGAGACGGAGGGCGATGCCGCGGCTGCCTCCGTGGTCCTTCGATCCGGGAGCAAACTGGATGCTAAGCAAGTGGAGCAGTTTGTGCGGAAGAACGTGTCCGTGCAGTTCAAGCATCTCCATGGCGGAGCTCAGATCGTTCCCCAGCTGGCGAAGAGCGCCAACGGCAAGGTCAACCGACAGGCCGTTAAGGCCGCCTACTTGAGAGATGTAACCCCGTCTTAAAATTTTACTGATAATCACACAATCAACAATTACCAAGCATAAACTTTGTTTGAATATAATCCATGACGATGCATAGTTTAATTTGGCACTCTTAAAAGGGATGATGAAAACATTTAGGTAACATCGCTATGTGTAATAACAAATTTGAAACACATTAAAAAATTATGCGCATAAAAGTTCTGCTTAGATATTTATTAAGTCACACAATTGCTAGCACTTAAACGAACCGGAAAGTATTACCTAAGGTCAGCAAAAACCTACTATTACAACAGACTTTTAGCCATAACATCTTATTTAACTACAACATTTACCGGTGAATAACAAATACAAACAAAAAACACTCAAGAAAAAATTATTAAACATGCAAATACAAATTTTCTATAAATATTAGTAATATTTGTAATCGTAGAATCGTTTTCCTATTATTTTATGATACAATTAAAATCAAAGACAACAAAACGGGGCACTAAAAAGTGTAATAAAAGTATGAAAACGTCATCATCAACAATTAATCCCTATGCCAATATTTGCAAATTAACAATGCACATGCGATACATATACACATCGCTTTCAGGAGAAAATTTGCCAAGTCACTGCGAGATCGTCAGCCTCACCGCCTTTACAGATCTTGGGGGTCTACCGCCAATTACATTGTTGTGGAGATTGCCTCACTTGCTCGACTACATTGATCACAATCACAAGTGCTACTGTAATCGCGTGTCGGTGTAATCAGTGCAACCTACTCGTACGCCCCGAAAGTTATCTAAAACAGTTCGCGAATAGAGAGATCGGCTCTATAAAAGGAGACCTGCAGTTGCACTTTGCATTCAGTCGAGAATTGAACTCAGAATGCCGTACAGACCAGCAAGCTTCTACGATGCCGACCTCAAGGTTTGGAGCAGTGGCAAATTGGAACACTACTTTGACCCACATCTGTCCATCGGGGAGATAATCTTCGAAGAGATGCGGCGCCATCCGCAGCTCATAGCCCAGGTGGGTGCACTTAAGGGTTCTCGATAAGAAATACCAAAGAATAAAACCCAAACCTTCCAGATCTCAGCCACGGAGAACACCATTCTGACCAGGGCCGAACTGCATGACAACTCGATGCGTGTGGCCAGCTATATGCGATCCCTGGGCCTACTCCAAACCGATGTGGTGGGCATTATAGCCAGGAATACCACCCACATGTCCGCCGTGGCCTACGCCTGCTTCTTTAATGGAATAGCCTTCCACTCGCTCAACATCTCATATGAGCGGAGTACCATCGAGAAGCTGTTCAACATCACCAGGCCACGACTCATTTTCTGCGACGGGGATGAGTTTGAGCAGGTTCGAGCTGCCACAGCTCACCTGGATGTAAAGATAGTTACCATGCGAAATCATCTTTCGGACTCCATTCGGATCGATGAAGTTCTGGCCACTCCCATTGAGGAAAACTTCCTGCCAGCTAAACTGGAACAGGGAAATGACCAGACTTTGGCCATTCTTTGCTCCTCTGGCACAACGGGAGTTCCCAAGGCAGTAACAGTTACCAATAGTCGACAGATCCTCAATTCCAGCAAGTAAGTAGGGGTCCTCGATTCTTGAGATTCCAATGTAACCATTGCTCCCCCAGCTCTTTGACCACCAACGACGTGCAGTACACCCACAGCACTCTAGACTGGATCACTGGACTACTGACCACCGTCACATCCGGGGTGTTCAGCACAAAACGCATCATAGCCGACAATGTCTTCGATCCGGCCTTCTTTATGCGACTCGTCGAGGAGCACCAGATCACATGGATTATTCAGGCGCCCACCCACATGGCCATGATGGCTAACTGCCCAGCCTTTGGCACGTCCGACTTGTCGAGCCTTAAGTATTACCTCTTCGGCGGATCTCGGGCCTCCGTGGAGACGCAACACCGCATTAGGAGTCGATTGAGCAGGGATTGCCTGCACTTTGCCTACGGATTCACAGAGTTGGGCAGCATGGCCTCCATCAACTTGCACTATGACGAGAAACCCAATTCGGTGGGTCGCTTGGTGGCGGGAATTAGGCTGAAGGTCATCTGCGAGAAGGGAGAGTCCCTGGGACCCGATGAGGTGGGCGAGCTGTGCCTGTGCAATGATCAGCATTGGGCTGGTTACTACGGCAATCCGGAGGAGACGCACAAGATGCGAGACGCTCAGATGTGGTTCCACAGTGGGGACCTGGGATACGTGGATGACGACGGGTTCGTGTACGTGGTGGAGCGCAAGAAGGACATGCTGAAGTACCAGAACATCATGTACTATCCCAACGACATCGAGAAAGTCATCTCTGCGATGCCGGACGTGGCCGAGGTCTGCGTCTTCGGGGTGTGGAATCAGATGGTCGGGGATGAGGCCGCCGCCGCCGTGGTGAAGAAACAGGGAAGTGGACTCAAGGCCCAGGACATTGTGGATTACGTGGCTACACACATCGACGCCAAGTACAAGCACCTACACGGAGGAGCCATCATCATGGAGGATCTGGTGCGCAGTCCGAATGGCAAAACCAACCGCTTGGCCACCAAAGCGTATTTCTTGGAGGTCAAGAACTCCACATAAATCTAAAAAATTGTCATACTATATTTTTGTATCAAAAAACTGTCACAAACTTTAACTTAGCTAGAGCAACCAAATGTGTTAATACTAAATTTAGTAGAAACCAAATCATTTATTATTCTAGGCTAAATGCCGATCTATATATTATATCTTATGAAATGAAACAGTTTTCTCGAAATAGATTGATACTTTACTAAATAAATTAAATCTAAGTCAGAGAGAACAGTTGCTTTACTTTATAAATTAACATAATTTGTGGTATCTTATTGTTGGATAATAAAATGTAATCTAGTTTCTATTACGTATAAAGATAAATGGATGATGAGAGGTGCATTCATTCAGTGAACGCTTTTTGTCACTCAATTTGGTGTCAACTATCAGAGGGAATATCTCAAACATTTTCCAACGGGGTTATCTTGCTGGAATCGCTTATCACCGAGCTTTTCGAATCGATGACGTAGTGAACCGCTTGGAAAGCGGCTGGAAGCGATAAGACACCGCCTGGACTGCAAATGGCCCGAACATGGAAGCGGTCGCCAGTCGCTGAAGAACCGTTATCGGACCCGAACCCGGACGCGGATTCACGCCCCGACAGAAACCCAATTGCTGAGCCCCGGCCAGTCTTATCAGTCGCCACAATGGAACGCCCGAGCACGCAATTCGATAAATACACTAAAATTTGGAGTGGACCAAGGCCGGCCAATTTCTTCGATGTGGACTGTTCGATTGGTAAAATTCTGTTCGCCTTTATGCGGAACCATCCGTCCAGCATATGTCAGGTATACAAAACCCTTTTGTAATCCTTAAAAGAAGAAATAAATAGTCTCTTTTGCAGATTTCAGACACGGAGGGCACAGCTTTGACCAATGGCGAGGCCATAACCTTCGCCATCCGCATTGCCCAGCAGCTGAAGGCAATGGGACTGAAACAGGACGATGTGGTGGGCATCGCTGGGACCAACACCACCTACCTCATGCCCGTGGTGCTGGGATGTCTGCTGAATGGAACGCCCTTCCACGCGGTTAGTCCCTGGCACGACGAGGACACCATGAAGCATCTGTTCTCCATCACCCGGCCGAGGATCATCTTCTGCGATGGATACGTCTACCAGCGACTGAGCATCATTGCCAGGATACTCAAGAGCCATGTCTACACGCTGAAGGACCATCGACTGGGCATGCCGCGGGTGGAGGATCTGCTGGAACCCACTAAAGCCGAGCTTTACTATATGTGAGGAGTTATATTGGGTGTTTATAAGACCATCCTTAAACTTCTGCTTGTGTTCTATACAGACCCGAAACTCTTCTTCTGGGCGGCGATCACACAGTGGCCATTCTCTGCACTTCGGGAACCACGGGATTACCAAAGGCCGTTTGCATTAGCAACTCCGCTTGCCTCTTTGATTTTGGGTAAGAAATATAATGGCACTATAGGGGTTTTGCAAACATCGATTTAAAGTAACAAGGCATTTTTGTATATTTATTGAAAGCCTATGGCAATAGGAATGATGTAAATTGAAGAAAAGAAAGTCAAATTTTTATTATTGTCACTTTAAAATCCTAAAAAAAAGCCTAATTGGTTAAAGGTAACTAGGAACTCAAAGCTGTTAATAATTAAGATTATTTTTGAATAGTTAACTTTCAAATTTTCTAATGTATTACTCTGCCAAGTGTATTAATCCGTTGATTGAGAACAAAGAACAGTTGGCAACTTCATGCTGTTAATCAAAGCCCAAATGTACTCCATTAAATCCAGGACATACTTATAATCCACACTCTATTTCAGATTCGTGACTGGCCAGGATGTGCTGCTCTCGTTCAGCACCATCGACTGGTCGGCGGGAATGTTCAACATGCTCTTCAGCTGCTGCCACGGCTCCACGCGGATCATCACGGACCGGGCCTACACGCCGGAGTACATGCTCCAGCTGGTGGAGAAGTACAAGGTGACCCTGTTGACGGTGGTGCCCCAACAGGTGGCCTCGCTCCTGAAGGCGCCCACTCTCAGCAAGCAGCGACTGGCCAGCATCCGATTTGTGAGCGTGGGCGGTGGCTCCTGCTACGTGGCCAATCTTCTAAAGCTGCAGGACTTCCTGATCACCGGCCAGATATCCTACGGCTACGCATTGACCGAGTGCGGCGGAGTGGCGGCCAATATGGGGGTGTCCAAGCCCTCGTCAGTGGGCCGAATTGTGCCCGGGGTGCGGGTGAAGATCCTGGACGATGCCGGTCGAAGTTTGGGACACGGAGAGACGGGCGAAATCCTGGTGCACAACGGAAAACTGTGGAATGGCTACTACGCCAATCCGAACGAGTCGAAGCGCATGCAGGACTACCAGGGCTGGTTCCACACCGGGGACATGGGCTACTTCGATGACGAGAACTTCCTGCACATCGTGGAGCGGAAGGGGGATCTGCTGCGCTTCCATGGCGCCCAGTATTGTCCCCACGAACTGGAGCAGGTCATCGCCGAGCTGCCGGATGTGATCGAGGCCTGTGTCTTTGGCCTCTGGAACGAGGTGGATGGCGATCCTGCGGCGGCGGCAGTGGTCAAGATCCCGGGCAGTCGACTCACCGAGATGGACATTGTGGAGTACGTGGCCAAGCGCCTGGTGGTCCAGCACAAGCAGCTCCACTGCGGAGTCTTCTTCCTGACCGAGCTGCCAAAAACTGGAAGTGGCAAGGTTCTCCGGCAGCAGGCACGCGATCAGGCACTGGGCAAAAAATGGGCCGACTACGGCAACGGACACTAATCTTTTAATAGACGTAATTCTGTTAGGCTTAAAGACAATTAGTTATTACCGACGACGGATGACTCATCCTGTTAGCGTTCAAGTACTGCCGAAAAAATGAAATACAAATCCAAACATAAGCAGACCAAATTGTGTTTTCGATGGCCAACACATTCGTGGGCCAATGTTTGATACCGGCGGCTTATCTCCCAGTGATTGCGTTCCAGGTGCGATAGCTACGTAGCCGCACTCATTGATCACCATTCGTCGTTCAAGGTAATGTCACCATTGGAGGTCAGCATTCCTGGGAAAATATTGGATAACGATAAGAGGTTGGTATTACATTTTGAAAGACAAGCTTCTTGTGTAGAAACAAGTTTAACCAGATTGCTTTAGATCATCTGGTAATGACGGACCTTAATCAATGATAAGATTACATTTAATTAGAAGAGTCAGGGTTATACAGCTGGTTGAGAAATAAAGAACTCGATAAGCACATTTATGTTATTTTGATAAATATCAATTCAAAGGTCTTAAACTTTACTTAACTTATTAAAAAGATAAATAATACGGGAATTGATAAATCTATAAGTAGAAATATACTGATCTTCAAATATTTTAAAATGCATTACGACAAAAAAAAAATTTTTAATTTAAAGGAGAAACGTAAAAGCATAGTTTCGAGTAGTTAGCAATGCCAATCCTAGATTCCATAACTTTACCAAATATAATCCGATTTCAAAGTGGCATACCTCTAAAGACTTGTGTTTGGATTCTCTAAAAATCTGCATAAGTTTCCGATGAGTTGACCCAAAGGTGACCCACAATTGGACTTCTAGATTACATAACTTTACCAAATATAATCCGATTTCAAAGTGGCAAACCTCTAAAAACTTGTGGTTGGATTCTAAAAAATCTGCATTCAAAATTTTCATTTTAGCGTTGACTTTACAAACACCAAAGTTATGACCTACCTTATAAATATTGGTAGGTCGGCTAAAAATAAAAACACATAAAAATTCCCAACTTAATAACTATAACTTTTAACTTTACAAACACCAAAGTTATGGCATTTCCGATCAATCAACTATATGGCGGCTATAGGATATAGTCGACCGATCCTTATGAAATTTGGTAATAAAACCTATAAAAATTTCCAACTTCCTAACTCAAAAAACACCGAAGTTATAGCCTCTTAAATGAAATTATAATACCCTCTGCAAGGGTATAAAAAAGCTGTCAGTAATAATAATAATAAGGTATTTAAAAGAAAACGTATATTAAAATCAGTCTAAATGTAATAATATGCCTATTTAAGAAAATGCAATGGTTAAACGCTTTGGCTTATCACAGCAGGATTATCACTATTATAATGCCATCACTTTGCACAAAAGCGGATTATGGGATCACTTTTAGAGGGCCAAACAGCTGAATACATCAAGCCGCCCTCGCAACGACATATCAAGTACTTAATGGTGCACATTCCAGTTGAACAAACCCTTTGGTGATGGGCGAACGGAATAACATCATTATTTGATTGACAGCCGAGCAAAGTTGCACTTTGTACGTGATCTTGTCAGCGTTGCAACTGGATACGTTTGCACCCGGCACTCGAACTTGCCTCTTTAACCCTATAAATTGAGTGGCATGCCCCTCCGATCGTTGCTTGGGTGCACTCCCGAAATAAACTGCAACAATTAGAGGCCACTTAAGACCGGGAATTAATTTGGTTTGGGGATCATCGATAATGATCGCACCATTCCGCCTGCTAAGCGGATTGACAGCCCAGGGAGCATCTTCATCTGCCGATGTTGTTTTCAATGTCAAGTTCAAGAAATACGATCCTTGTGGCGCATTTTCGGGGGCATTAGTGTTTCAGTCTGCGGCATTGATCATGGGCCGACTGACTGACGTACTGGATGGAGGTCTTAAACCGGCTCAAATATGCAGGAAGTGCCCGGCGTGACCAATGGAGCATTCGTCTCGAACGCGGAGCCAGCTTCTCAAAGACGCTTGGCGCCCATCTGATCCGATCGTGGCAGCGATCGGACGGCGATTCTAATTGTCATGCAAATACCAATTATCATTTGTCAGTTACGCCGCTAATAATATTGTGTGCTGGGGGCATTTAAATGCCTACGCTCTTTATGCGATTGCCTGAATGGTTTCTGATCGCCGATCGCCGATCGCAGATCCAGAATCGCCAATCTGCGATCTAATCTCCGCACTGATTAATTCATTAGCAACTGTCGACCAGTTTGTCAGTTACATGGCAATGACTGCTGCCTGCCGCCATTGCTGCGATTAATTGGCGTTATTAATCGTGTAGAAAATGCTGAAATTGTTTGTGCTTATTTATAATGCTAAGCACTAATTTATGTCTCTCGAAGTTATGGCTTGAAGGATTGTTTAATTACCTTTACCATTTGCATATGTCACAGCAAAGTCTCCGCTAATGCCACTGTTTCCCCCTTCTCTTTGGTAGAACTTGAAAACGGATCCAATCCAGCTGCTTAGCCCCCACAAACCATTCCCATCGAAAATCCTATTAAGTCATCTAGTGCAACCTCACATTATTGAAGAATGCCTGAAAGGGCATCATGCGCGAGTAAGTCTTAAGGAAATCTTATACTCTTACCAAGGGTTCGATATAAAAATACCTATTATTATGGAGAGTTATTTGCTATAATTTAATTAAATATTCTGTATTTCTATTTCGATGGTAAAAAAATGATGTCTCAAAGGAATGTCACTTCAAAATAAATTGTGGGTCACCTTTTTAGAGGCCATCGGAAACTTAGAAATAACTAACATATAAATTTGGAAAAAAAGTGATTAACATTAATTTGACAAATTTGAATGCAGATTTTCAGAAAATCAAACCACAAGTCGTAAGTGGTATGTCACTTTGAAATCGACTTAAACTTGGTAAAGTTTTGGAAGTCCAATTGAGGGTGACATTTTTAGAAGTCATCGAAAACACTTTTTGGAACCATAAACAAAAATATATGTACAATTTAGAAACAAACACTCAAATACTAATTAACTAAACTTAAGTCTGCTATGTAACTCCTTCAATTTCTCTATAACTAATCATACCCCTGATACCCTATATTAAGTGCAAGGGGATAACAACTTTGACATATTGCCTTCGACATGGGGAGCGGAGTACAGAATTTATGGCGCTTAAATTGCAGTCATGCGCATGAGCGGCAACGGCTAACAAGATCGGCTGCCCCCTCCCGATTTTGGTTCGGAACAGAATGAGAATCAGACCCCGCCCCACGATGGATAACCCTAACCCCTTCGTTGCGGCTTAGAGCGGATGTTTGGTGTCAAAACACAAGCGGGCCGATGCTCGATGCGTTTTCCCTGGAATTCTATACCGGACCTGGTCCTTGCCCGTAATTTATGTAAGCGATGTGTTCGCCAGTGAAAACAAGAAGAACGCGGGACGGGATCGATGATCGTAAAAATAGTCCAAGACCCCGATCGAGTGCCCCATGTTGTTGATGTTGCTGTTGCTTTTATCAATTTGTGTTAAGTTCGCTTCTAAGCACGAAGCAGGCATAGATCATAAAATGGCACCCCCGGGCAATCGACGATTTCGGATCGGATCGACTAGGATCGACTGGGATCGGGGATCGGTGGGGAAAAATTTACATAATTACCGCTGGCGGTGCTTTGGTGAGAGCCGCCCGAACGTGTCAAAATGAAAAGTGTTGCATGATTAGCGAGTAAATTACGCCGCCGAGGCATAAATCTATCCCAAGCCAGTCCGCTGGCCCCCAAGATAATCAAATAAATGGGGCGATTAATAAAAGATGAAGATGCAACCGCAGACGACGGGAAAAAGCAAGATCAATGCGCCTGTTGATGGCCCGCAGCGGAGTTTGGGGTCTAGGTCCGATCCAATCTCATCGAATCGGGAGTTCTTGGCCAGCACAGCTGGCTAGGATCGGCTGGCGCCCCGAGCGTGCGAATTTCTGGCCGCCCGTTGTGGGAGGTGTGAAGAAAGGCCGCGGCAACATCTCCTGTGCCAGCGACTCTAGGAACTTGGCCACATCTCGCCCGCGGCTGGCGGACCGACATGACACATTGTTGTTCGCGTAGCATAACTTGGTCAACAAGCGATGATGTTGAGATGCGGCCAGTTGCCGATGCTGATGATGATGGAGGTGATGGCTCAGCCTGCAGCCAAACGCAGTTGGAACCGGCTACCAACAGCACTGTGAAAAACAAATGGTGTAAAAACGCAATTTCTCCTGCAACTCGCCTTTTTCCGAATTTCAAAGTTGTGTAATTGTTTTTCTCTTAAATTTTTGTAAGCTTACCATTCATTTAATTGACAAACTTAAAATAAAATCGAAGGTTACCAAGCGAACAACTTCAAAGATTACATAAACAATCAACCAAATTATCTCCAGATAATATTAAATTTGAAAATTTCTTCTTTGCATCATCCGATTTATATTTCTTATGGTAAGCTACAGGTAGGTGTTAAACTATAAAATCATTCTTTAACCTTAAAGCCTTCTTTAAATCGAGAAAAAGAGTTTTAAGCCAAGTTACATATTTTGACCATTTTGCATGCTTTGGTTTTGGATTAATGAAACACAGTTTTAGATGTCCTGAATCGCTTTTGGAAACCATAACTTTTCCTCTCTGTGTAGTTAGTAATGCTGATCCCAGCGATAGATACGCTTCCTTAACACGTCTTCAATTGTGGAGCCGGCGGGGCCAAAAGTGGCTGTCGCTGGTGTTGTTAAGAGCAAAGTGTTGTTAGGCGGTTATGTGTTCGCCACTTGTTCGCCAGTTGTTGCGTTTTAGCGGTGGTTTCGTATTACCGTTGCCCAGCCGGGACCCGGTCAAGGTCTCTCTCCCTGGTGCCAAGTGTAGTGTCCCCAAGAACCAAGAACCGACTTTCATTGAGCAACTGCAGCGGCGCGTCGACGGGCTTGCATTGGACATTGCATATTGCATTCCGATTCATCGAATCGAATCGAGTGGAGTGGCGTGGAGTCGCGTCGCTTGCATTTCCTGTCGCATGCGCCACATAAATTAGTTTTCCATGTTCACTTGTCACTTGTATCGCCATTGGCCAGTTGAACCCGTTTGCCCGGCCATTGCGGGTGTCCATTCCACTTAGAATCCGCATCCGACCGATTGCCCTTATCAGTCGCAAAGCCCCTGCAAAGCCAATGCCGCATCCTCCCAGCACAATTTGCAATCAATTTTGGCAAGAAGCCACCTAATTGCTTTTGCAAAATGTATTTATAGGGCCGCCGCACGCACCGCCCGAGTAAATGATATGAGAGTTTTCCTTTTTCAGAGGCCACCTTGCCCCAGCACAGTTGATAGTTCATATCGGAAAAGGGAAACTCGCTAATGCCGCAGCTAGTCCCCACAAGATTGAAGAAATAATAGCCGCCAGTGAAGTCAAAACACTTTTACTCGCTTATCGCAATGACCATAAATCAGGGTTTTCGACGACTAATTCTAGCATTTTCCCGCATGGAAATTATGCAAATAGAGCGTTGATATATTGGTTCGAAAACGTTAGGACGGAATTCCTTATCGATGGCAAGCAGCAAAGTTACTCCCAAGTTAGGTTTTTTGTCGCTAGATCTTCAGTTGTTTCCGTAGTGTAGCGGTTATCACGTGTGCTTCACACGCACAAGGTCCCCGGTTCGAACCCGGGCGGGAACAGTTTGAACGATTTTTTTGCATGTATCTACTTTCAATCTGTCAATTGACCTTAGCCCCAACTGTCCGCTTCCGATGTGAAATTAAAGTTTATTCAATTCATTTTCTCTCAACCACAATAATTTTTATATCGTTTTAATGAGGCTGGTTTTACGATCGTTTCAGGTGTGTTATATTTATAAACACGCCGACCCTCAGCACGCACCGAATTTCAACTGTTTAACGACTCGCCAGCAATGTCAGCATCCCGGGTATGACGCCGATTCCCGGACATTTTTATGGCTTTAATTTGTTGCAGCCCACGCCGAGAGCCACCCAAGGAGAAGGGTTGTCTGGAAATAGGACACAGACCCATTAAAGAAAGTGCTGTTATGGTCTAAATATGTTGCATCCTGGGGAGTTTTATGTGTTTCGTTGACAGAGTGTGCATCATTATCATTGCTTTGAACTTGGCAAAGAAACACGGAAAAGGATAGGAAACTAGGTCGTAGCTTTACTTTCACTTTCGAGCCATGCAACCTGCAAATTATATTTAATTGTTTCTTTTATTTGATAGTCATTTTAGAGTGCATGTTTGGCTTTTTGTTCAGTAGCTTAACGTCATTATAAACTATTTGCGTTTTGGACGAGCCTATGACGTAGGTTTCCGTAGTGTAGTGGTTATCACGTGTGCTTCACACGCACAAGGTCCCCGGTTCGAACCCGGGCGGGAACAAGACTTGAAGTTTTTTTTCAGTTCTAATTAGTAGCATTTTTTTTTCATTAAATATTTATTTATTTTAAAAATTTCTAGCCTTTAGTTTTTCATTTCAGATATGAAAATTAGTATTTGTTCATAAAAGCTCATGCTGAAAGCTTTTTCCGATACACATAAAGGGCTCACCACTATGAAAAGCAGCTATGGCATTCACGTGGGAACTACGACTAACAGCATTTATCGGGGGATGTAGCTCAGATGGTAGAGCGCTCGCTTAGCATGTGAGAGGTACGGGGATCGATGCCCCGCATCTCCAGTTGATTTTTTTTTCACTAATATTTTATTTATTTTTTGTTTTGCATGAGAAACATTTGCATAAGCCACTTGGCCGTTTGATGGACATGCTCTCCCATCATCGGAGACATTTGTGTCCAATTATTTAGTAAATAGAATATCATGCCGGTTACAACTCCATTTCACACGCTTTTCCAAGCGACTGGCCGAACCGGCTCGTTATGCAATCGCTCAGTGACTTTGGCTCTTTAGCCCCGTCTCCGTCTCCATTTCCATTTCCCGGCAGACATCGCAGCTAATCCAATTAAGCGTACTCATCATATTCACGCAATGCAGGCCATGAACTAGAAATGCAGCTAAACCGGACTCTGCAGAGGGTGGCTGGGAGACAAACGGGTATGGCGAAGATTCTGACATTTCCGTCATGTCCGGATGATTGAAATCTGTTTAATTGAAATTAACTTAGGAATGCGCTTCTCTGCACTTTATACTTTTCATTACTTTCCCCATAAGTTCATTTGAAATAGTCTCAATGGATATTTGGTATTTTAAGTTTAAAAATAAAACACTTTACTTAACGATTTGGTTTATGATAAGATATGTACTGTGACTCTATAATCAGGCTTTTAAATTTGGCTAATATAATATATTTAAACAATAGCCTTTATGACTCTAATCAACTCTTTTGTTATAAAATATCATAATATTTTTCGTTCTACAGCTGGAAAATGCATTCACCGTAAAATATTTTAGAAAGGTGAAATGATTTTGCCTTTTCAGAGTTGTATTATAAACATCTTCTTCAAATTATGCTAGAAGTTTGATAATAGTTTGACTTTTTTAAGTTTTAAATGCCTTGCCTGGTTCGGCATCCCACACAAAATGACAGTGAACAGTTGTTATATGTCGTAGAAGCAAATTAGTATCGCCATTTTCGTGTGGGTGTTCATTAATAAATCTATCTAATCTGCCACTCGAATTCGCTGTATACCAATTGGCATCGGCAATGGCAATGGCATTGGCATTGGCATTGAGCAGGTGCAGTTAATTGGACGGAGGAACTGTTTGGGGCATGCCCACACTAAATTGGATCGCGGTGACTCAGCATGAGCAACGGGTGTATTCTCCATACGTCACGTAGACCTCAAAATCGTAAAAGATTAAATGTCATTTTGGCTGTGAGATTTGTGCGAATATCAGCAAAAACAAAATTATAATAACAGCAAAACCAGAAATGAAGCTAACTTCAACAATCCGATGTTCATATACCCTTTCATGGTCCAGTTTCTCTTAAACTGCTTTGTAAAATTTTTAATTTTATGTATTGCAAGTTTTAACTAATAAAATAAAATAGTATCTGTTCGTTGTGGCATTTTAAAATAAAATCATCTTTAGAAAGTATTTATAAATATTTAACAATGTTAAACACTATTTTCCCTTAATAAAAGTATATTATTTAGATTAACAAAACACTTGACGATTGAAAAAAGGGGGAATGTCCCAATTGGCAATTTTTAATTCGACTGGTAATTAGATGGGAATACCCTTGAAAAATAGTGCAATCTATGTTCTAGATAGAATTAAAAGCGGTCATAAGCTGATGACGGCAAATGCGAAAGGTAAATAGAAACAACTGGCGTTTGTGACATTGCGTGCTGTTAAAGCTCCCCATCCGAGTATATTTTGTACGAATGCTTAGGCTGGTTCGCTGCTATCAAAATTGAACTCTTTTAATCAGCCAACGGAGGACCGACGACCGCCAATTAACGCTCTCAGACAGCTGACTTTGATAGCAGGTTATAGCCTAGAAGCGGACTAGGGCGGTGCGGGGGCGTGCCAGCCATATGATAATGGTGATCATCGCCTGAGCAGCTGATAAGCCCCGGAAATGCGCGTGGAGAGCGTGTGCCGACGTCACCCGCTCTTTTATGCTTACGCCAGCTTTTCGATCGGAGAACTTTGGTTCCATTTCATGTAGCTATGTTATGTTGCCAAGAGAACTTGGATTCTCGGGTTCGAGTTCGGGTTCTTGGATTGCCCGTGGTCTCCGGCCGGTCTCTTTATTTTTTCAGATCGGTTTCGGGTGGGCGCGCGGTGTTCTTTTCATTCTCCAATTTTTTTTTGCTTTTTTTTTTTTTTTTTTTTGGCTGCTGTGGGGGCTGGCCGTGCCTCGTGTTTCGCCTATTCATGCGAAAAATTCAGCAGCGTTTGAATGAATGCGAATGCGGGAATATGAGCGACCGCGAGCAGCAGCAATTTCACCATTTCAAGGCCTACGTGACTTGTCTCACACAGGGAAATCGGAACGATTTGAACTGGGTACTGCTTTTATTACGGTTCCGACTGGAGGACAGGGGTACAGGGTCTGGGTCTGGGTCTCCTCGCCGTAATCCGAGCGTAGTTAGCTCAACTTTGTTCTATTATCCATTTACAGGGGGCTACTGAAAGTAGAACCAATAGCTTGCCACTGATATAAAATAGTTTCAAACTTAGCACAGTATTTTACTTAAAATGCATTTGAATCAATATAATAAGTAGAATTAAAAGATGCAATTTTTTTAATAATATATAAATATATGCAAATAGTTTAAGATTTTAATTTGACTAAGTCTCACTATATAGAGTAGAAACAAAATTCCATTAGGCATTTGAAATTGTACTTATTTATTTAGGCCAAGTTATACAAAAAAGTTAACTCGTTTAACTTTGATTTATGGGCGTTTGAATGCAATTATCAAATAGCCGAGGCTCCCTGATCTGCGATCTATCCCGCAACCACATGATCAATACGCTTTCAGCACGTGCTGGCACCTCTAGAAAAGGTCTTTGACTGTAGTCAGCTGATATCAGCATATTACGAGAGCTGGCGAGCGAGGTGCGATCTGCTCTCCCAGAGCAATTATCTCTATCAGCTCACCTGTTCAGCAGCGCAATCAATGAGTCCCATAATGGTGACAGTAGAATTTAATCGACATAAACAAATATCCCCACGCCACAAATCGCCGCCAAGTGGTTCGGACAGACAATAAATCAAAAGATAACAGGTTAGCTTTTTAAAATATTTTAATTTATTTACAGTAGTTTTAGCTTAGTACTTCGCTTCTGTTCTTTTTTTGTTCAGTCTTAAACGATAAATACGAAAATATTAGGTGCTAGTTGTAGTTTTAAAAGTAGAACTCTTATGCTTAAAGGTCAGGAACTTTAGCTTTGTTGTGTGGATCGGAGGTCCAATAGGTTTCGGCGATAGATAGAAGTATTCCCTCACAGGATGACTCTGGATGGAAACTGGAGCAAAGCCAGGGCGACCAACTGCAGGCACAGGCTGTAAAGGGCACAGAATTTATTATAGAGGGGTTTCGGGGTGCGAACTTATAGAGAGGATATGTAGAAACTGCATTACAGAAAACCATGCCAAAAATAAAATGAGTGAATTGTGACAATTTTTTAAATTTATTCAATTTAACTCGGGCAACGTGCAAAACTCTAAAAATAATAAAATTCCATGCAGAAAGCCCAGGTTGACAAGGATTACTCCTCTTACCATATTGACTAAAACACTCTCTCGATTTGATATTAATGTATTTTTAATTTTATTTTTTTAGTTAAGTTTTTTCGCGTTTTTTTCATGCTTTTTTCGTGGATCATTTACTCACTTATATGGAAAATGTTTGTTTAATGCCTTAGATTATAACAAAGTTTTGTAAGTCTAGGGCCTACGCATCTTAATAGTAGTTTATAAATAAATATTTTGAAATAAATAAATAACTCAAGCTACGGACTATAATTTCACGCTTGACTCTGGTCGTTCAAATAAATTAATATTACATGTTAGTTTCATAAGTATTTGTTAATTAAAATACAATCTTGTGATTTGTGAGTTTTTCATTCCCTTTTTTCGTTTATTTATTTTATAATATTTAGTTGCTTTCGATGTGTCGTTGGCTTCATTGTTTTGCATACGGGCTTGCCAAGGATTAACCTCGTTTTTCACCATAAAAAAATTCGCATTCAAAATTGATTTACAGATCTTAGGCTACGCACTGAGAGGCAGCGAGGTTCGACAATACAATGACAAAAAAACGTATCTTACGACTAAACCGCGTATCTATGTACAAATGGGGTTCCTCGACATATTCGAATTTTCAACGCTTCACTCGTTTACAATATTGGGAAAGCGCTTTGCAAGTTTTTCATTTCGTTTTATCGGTGTGGTCGTATTTTTGAGTATTTTTTTTCATCGTCAACCGAACGTGAAAGTTCCGCCACAGAGACTCAAGTATTTCAATAGACTCTTTCGGTCATTCGTATTGCGTAAGGTTATGGCTTCGATTTTAGATCTATTTGATTGGATGATGGGCGTGCGTTTATTATACATTTCGATGATAATTATACTCCAAATTGTTGGCTTGAGAGGTTCTTATAAAATACTCGAGACTCCGTCGTAATACATATGATATTCATCGTCTTTAGTGGGGCTGGCATTGACCTGGGGGATCATCGCCGGGGGAACAACCGTCCGCTGCATCAAAAATACTTTAGTGAGCCACAGTCGTAGGTATGTTGGGTATATTGGGTATATTGGTGATATATCAAATATGTACACACTGGGCGGATGATGTATATGATGTTGATCTGGTGCTGGATGTGCAGTGTACTTGGGTGGGTGTCTGTTGGTGTCTGATCGTGTGTGTGTGGATGTGTTGTGTAAACTTGCAATTACAATATCTTTTGCATACTCAGGCCAGACTTTTTACAGCAACTTTCGACTCTTCCTTCACTTTTCTCTTTTTTCAACTGCATTTTCCACATTTTGAACGTTTTGATTTTGTTTGCAAGCCCAAATTTAAAATTTTGAAAATTATAATAATAATAAAATAAAAAACAGCAACCAAATAAAAATAAATCAAAAAGTACAAAATGTGTGAAATAAATTTGGAAAATACTTTTAAGTTCTAGAAATACTCTAGGTTATGGAAAATTCCAATCAATGTTAATGCCAAAAGGTAATTATAAATTAATTTTAGAAAAATTTAGAAAATATGAACTTCCAATCCATAAAGTATATTAAAAAGTTATTGCCAATTGAGAACAAGTTATTTTGTATAATTGTAGAAAAAATTTAGAAAATCTCTACTTGGTATACGTTTGTTTGTGAGAAATAGATGAAGAGTTAGCTAAGGAATTTGCTTATGGGAAACTCACAAATCGTAGTAGAGCGAATCGTCGCCGGCTGCTGCACTGCGTCCTTGGGCCTCGGAGCTGACGTCCTCGTAGCTGGCATCCTCCAGGGATCCCCCCTCGCCCTCGTCCTCGTCCTGCTCCGTGGGATCACCCTTGATCCTGATCCGGCTCCTCCTCGCCGCTGCTCATGCGCACATTGCGCTCCACCCGATCGCTGGTTTCGCTGAGGGCAAGGGCGGGCAGGGGCGAGCTGCTCTCCCAGTGGCTGCCGGGGGGGCGTGGCCAGGCTGGTGGCCATGGTGGTGGTGCTGCTGGAGATGGGATCCATTTTCCGGTGCTTCCGCTTGCCACCGGAAACACCTTTGGCCTGATGTTGCTGGTGTTGTTGCTGCTTGTGTTGCTGCTGCTTTTTGCCCCCAGTTTGCCGCTGTTTTCCCGACTTGTTGGGTTTCTTCTTGCCACCCTGCTGGATATTGCTCTTGCCTCGCTGCATCACACCTTTGGCTGCCTCTGGATGTTTCCTCGCCCCATTCTTCTTGCCACAATTGGGCGGGGCTCGCTTCTCGGCGGCTGCCATTTCGCGCAGCTCCTTGCACCTTTGCGCCTTGGGCCCCAGTTTTCGCAGGGCGCCCACAGCCGACCCCGACCCCGCACCCGACCCCGCCCCCGCTCCTCCGCGCCTGTGACAATTGTGGGTGTCCTCCTGCTCGTGCGGCCTGCACCGGCGCTTCTTCTTCTTGTTGGACTTGCCACTATTGCCACTGTTACCACCATTACTGTGGCTGCTACTACTATTACTGTTACTGCTAATAATATTACTGTTACTGCTACTGCTAATATGGCCACTCTCGCTTTGACTACTGTTACTAATACTACTCAGGCTGCTGATCGCAGGCACAGGAACGTAACTGCTACTGCTACTGCTACTACTTTTACTACTGCCACTGCCACTGCCACTCGTGCTGCTGCTACTGCTGCTGCTGCAATGTGGCGGCCCCTTAAACTTGGCCACATCGATCAGCTCGATCAGCGGCTTGCCCGTATCACAGAGTTGCCGCACGCCGTGCTTAACGCGATTGGCCCCAAAATTCTTGGCGATCAGCTGCTCGACCCGCTCCTGCGGCACCGTCTCCGTGATGGCGTTCGTGTAGGTGCTGAGCTTGCCCAGCGATCGGCTGGCCGGGATCTGGGTGCGCCGGGGCTGGCCACTCGCATTCAGGGCCAAGTAGAAGACCCTCCGCGGCTGCGAGTGGTACGTGGAGGAGTACGTGTTGTAGTTCTGCAGACCCATGCTCTCGTTGAAGACGCAGTCGTCGGTGAAGTCTTTCTGCAACAACCAAGGGCTATGATTAAATGATTTGGCAAAACAAAAGGCGGCGGGAATGGGTAGTTGGGTAACATAAGTTTTAAGAGATCTCTAAATATTGGTAATCAATTTAATAGCACATCAAAGGAAGAATAGCCCTCCTTTGAAAAATATATAATATTTTTTAAAATTTTAAATTAATGTGAAAATAACAATTATTTTCTTTTCTTGATTCTTAAAGAGATATTTCTTATGGTGTTTCCTCTTCAACCTCTTAATATAATAGTTCAATCACTTTAATTCAAGATGTTTTAGAATATAGTACACTTAATCCGCTCAAATCAACATTTCGCTTTCTTAAGAAACGCAATTAGAAAAAAAATACAAAACCTTATAAGGTAACCACCAGTAGCCATACTCAGTAAATAGAAAAACATGGAAATAACCTACTAGACCACATCAAAGGGTTGTCTGCCCGGCATTTCTTTCAGCAGCCAAGTTCTACATAATCGTAGCCCCATAAACGAAAATAAAACTTCTTTGAATTTGCTCTCCAGGGGCGGCGTTTGTTTCTTTTGTCTATCAGCAACGAAATCAGATGGATAAATGCGCTCATTATCACAGGATGTGCTCCTATCGGCGTTGACCATCGATAGCCCCACTGGCCATAAACACTTCTACTTTATGAACACCTCATGACAGCCGAACAAAAGGACCAAAGAATTAACCGACTGATGATGAGAAATTGTGGGCTAGGTAAGGAAAATGTAAATCGAGAGTGGAGAAAGGATTTTTACATTGGCCTTTTGGATGCGCCGACTGCTAGACATCTGCAGATCAAATTCAATTAACAACACTGAATTAATTCGCTTGTCAGGCAATTAAAATTGTTTCGTAAATAAAACGGCAGCCAGGCGATTCCCTGCCTGATTGTTTACCCGGGAAAATGTCGCCGCTTAAATTTAGAAATTAATCAGGCGAAAGGCGAGCCGCAATGAGCCATCAAATGGGTGAGGGCCAGGCCAGGAGCATTTGTGGAGTATGTTGACGCCATTCGAGGTCGAGTCAAGTCGCGACTAATTTTTTGACATATGTGACAACAATGTGGATGCTGTTCCCCCTCTCTAAAACTCTTTTTATGACGCGTATTTCCAGGCATTTTCGTTTATTTTTAGTCTTTAATGGCTTGCAAGTGAAAATTGGCAGACACCAAAGGGAAATGAAGTTGTACTTAGATAAGGCAAAACTCCGGGGAAGAGGTGACTGCAGATACCCAGAACCATTAGCGCTGCATGGCCTCTCTATCGGAGCTTATCGAGTGGCGCCAGGCGAAAGGGTCAACCTGTTGTCCAGATTACGGGGAACACCTACAAACGGAACCACTTAGGGAACACAACCTAACAACAAAAGTAAAAGAAAACCTGCGTGACGCGTTCCGCCCGCCACTTATCGCCCCTGAACAGGACAGTAACGATGATAATGATGCAACATATTCATTGGGCCCCATTGGGCCGGCATTAATTGACCAAACCCAAGTTCGTGGCCTCCGCGGGCGGTCCCATTCCCCGCCGGAGAACAAATTATGCAAATTAATAAGCAAAACCGTAATGTAGTGAACATTTATGGATACGACATTTTAATTGGTCGAGACGCTGACTCACCGGGGTTTTTGGGCTTGAATTTATGAATTGGCAAACGTTTTGGGCTTTTATTTTTTTTTTGTTTTCCTCTGGTCAATTAGCCGTAGCCAGAAATCACCTGCCTCGGTGGTCACAAGACAGAAATATTTTAAGTATTATGGTGAAATGTTTGAAGATCAGTCACAAGGCAAAAGGTGCTATGAATAGCAGCGACGGAAAGTATTAAAAGTACCAGTAAATCAGGGCCCATAACTAGCGGGCATTTGAGTTTAGAAGGCAGCCATTTCTCAGATCTGGGATCTCGTGCTGTGAGCACCGGACGCCTTGGTCGCCAAAATAAACAAGACGGCCCAATATAACCGCCCACTTGACCAACTTACAGATATGTCGGCTATGTTATAGGCCCGTCGGCGGTATGCGGCGCCTTCAAAGGGCCGCCTACAAAGTGGCCGCTGGTGAAGCGCATCAATCAGCAAGTATCGCTGCATCCGCGAGATACTTGCAGAAGAAAAGCGCCAATGCGGACGCGGGCACGCCTCGGCTGACAGAATTGGCACACTCGCTGCTATTTCGGATGCGGAAAGGTCAAAGTGCCCGCGACGGCGGAAAGAAATGAAATAAATTAAACCAAAAACTAATGTCCGACGGACCAATGAAGCGCAGCCGAAGCGGTCGCATGGCGCCAGCCCAAAAAAGGCAACCCAAGTATGATCCTCGACTTCGAAACGCAGCGGGATAAAGTGTCGCCTTAATTTTTTGAGGGAAAATGAGAGGGAGGGGGAAGGGACAGCCGAAGGGGAACGGAACCCAAGGACATCAGTTGCCACTTGACGACCTGACCGCGCATAAGGACACATTCCGGAGCAAAAGGGACGCATCCCAGGACTCGCTTTGTTGCTGCTGATCGTGTTGCTTTGTTTTTGTTCACATTTAATTTTTTATTTATTGCCCTAGCCCTTCTTCGGTCGTCTTTTCATTTATTTGAGTGTCCCCTTGGGTTTTTTTTCGGTTTACCTCAATCTTTTAACAGGCCTTTGTTTGTTTTTGTTTTCGTTAGAGGGGTGCTAACACAATGAACTAGATAGACCGCTACACATACGAAATATAGTTATCTAAAGCGGCAAATTGTAATTCGAAATCGATTTCGCGGTTCAGGGAATACCGAAAATAAGGATGTCTGAACTTGTAATTTATATTTACTTTTCGGATACAAATTATACATTTTTGAATTTATTTTTAAGATCAAATATCCAATTAAGCAAGCACAAGTTCTTAACTTCTTAGCATAGATCCTTTTAAAGTTATAGTTTTTTTTATAATCATTATATGGATTCAAAAAGAAACTATAATACAAATTTATATTTTTATTAAATTCAGTTAATGGCTTCTTCTCAAGCAAAAATTTAAAATTGTATTTTCTTGTGTAATTGTGAGTCTTAGTGACCTAAATAAGTTGGTATTCTTTGTCTCCTAGTCTTAAAATTTATTTTTTTAACAAATTTTTTTTTAATATTTTTTTTTTATATCATGTAAAGCTTACTTACCGAGCCGTAGGGAACACCGCACGCGTCCATGCACAGATACAGGCAAGTGGCCACACTCTGCAGCTTGATGCGTCCCACATCCACAGTGGAGCGCTGGAGAATCGCTGCAAATGAAACGGAGAAAGCACATTAATTAATTATCAATCAAGAGTGGCAGAAGAGGAGACCTGATTATGGAGGTCTGACCCACAATCTGGGCGCAGGTGTCAGGATGTCAGAGCGAGGCGAGAACCCAAAAGGCCCGTCCACAAAGTGGTTAATTACATATCCGACACCTGGTGAGCCGTCAGAGTGAGTTGATCCCCCCCACCTAACCCCCTCCCCCCGGCAGGTGGTTAAGAAAAAAATAAAAATTGTTAAAGTAAGCAGTACCCAGCTGAGAATCCACTAAATCATAGATTCCATTGCCGAGCAAATTTGTCAACTGTACCGAATCGAAGATGCCTTAAGTGAGATTATGACTAATATTATTTATGGCGAGTTCCGCGGCGGGTTAATTGAAATTGCCGCCTTGCACTTGAGAAATGAACATAAGAGCCGCAGCCACACCAAATTCAAGTTCAGCATCGTTTAAGGTCAAACCACTTGTGTGGTCCGGATGAGGGGGGAGGGGGTTTAGAATACCGCCTGCCGCTTTGTCTGTTGGCAGTTGCCTGGCCAAAGTGTGTCAGCACTTTGAGGCAGCACACTCGTTCAATGAACTTTATGCACTTCGTGCATAATAAACATCAATTTATAAATACGCAGCTTGTTACGGGAGCAATTGGAAATTGAAATCTTAGCCAGCTGCTGCGGCAAGGAAATGGTTGTTCCTAATAAAAATTATTATTAGAGATTATGGCGGAGTACGCCAGGAACATTAAATATCCAAGGGAGTCACTGAGTGGCCACTTGAATGAGGAAAAAATTGATTCCCTAACGATATGATATGAGCAAGTAATTAAATCCTTAACTATGCGTTATTTATGTGCTCTTTGTGATGGCAGCTGAAATAAAATCCTTGTCATTAAAAAAGGCATGTGAAAATGATCGTATGCTGGTGATTCAATGCCCAGCCAATACTTGAATAATTATCTCATCTCCCAGAAACTATGCCAGCGTATAAACATATGCCAAAATATCATAAAATATAGCTGTCAATAGGTGGGCAATTTATGGCCCACATGCTTATCCCGTATATGCAACTTTTATTGCAACTGCAACTTCGGTTGCAACTTCGGCTATAAACAGCAGATTGTTTGAAAGGCATGCGTTTTTATTTACAGGGCATCAATCGCCCATCCCCTTTTAAATACGGAAATTGTAAAGTTTCAGCGAAAAGGAAAAACGCATAAATAGTGTAAACGAAACAACAAAAACAAGAGGCTGTAATGCCATTGCTTATCCGATTCCCCTTCCTTTTCCCGGTTTTATTCCCGTTTACCCGATAGATTTACTATTTCCCTCCCTCAGAAATTTCCCACAGTCACACGGAAAAATAAATTAAGAACAGTAAAGGATTTATACCATAGTATTAAATTAAATTTTTTTTAATTTTGAAATGGTCTACTTATTTAGTAAACATCAATTACTTTATGGAATTATTATTTGTATTCATTTGTATAAGTTTTCTCTAAGTAAAAAGATCCAACGGATTATTTAATTCTCCATTGTTTGTTCCAGTGCATAAGTAATTGTTCCATTTTTCTGGAGTCTTTGGAAATTGCCTTTTAGTGGATTTTAGTGGATTTTCCGCTTCTCCAACTCTTTTAAAAAGTCCTAAAAACATCTATAAACCAAACAAATGACATGCTAAGCGCGTCAGTTCATTTGTTAAAATCGAAGAGGTCGCCCAAAGGGGCAGTGGGCGGGGTTTTGGTGGGTGGGGAAATGGGGCGGGGGAGGGGAGCGGACCCAGTGACAGCCTTTCACTTCGAATGCCATGTGGTGTTGCATTTCACTTGCGTCGTGTTGTGTTTGTCGTGGTGTGACTTTTTTCTTCGAGGCTCATTTAAAAAACGATTTGTTTTGCTCGAGTTAACATAAGTAATTTTTCTTCTTTTTATCTTTTCGGTTATACGTATGTCTTTCAATGTGTGCGTTCGGACAGCGACAACTTTTAGCGTATTAAATTGTTAAAAAGAATAATTTATACTTATTCTTGTGGGAAAGTTTTCTCTGGCTATATGTTGCTTTCCCTCTCTAACTCTATCTTTCTCCCTCCCTCCGTGCTAATTTTAGCACAACATAGCAACAACAAGCAAGGAGAGCGCAAGAGAGATGGTTAGAGAGCGGACTTCTTAACTTGTGAGTGAACTTTGGCAACACGCATGACATGTGGCGCCGTGGCTTAGTTGGTTAAAGCGCCTGTCTAGTAAACAGGAGATCGTGAGTTCGAATCTCGCCGGGGCCTATGCTTCTGGGAGCATTAATTTTTTTTATGCATTTCTTTTTTCTGTTATAATATAATTATATAATTGCTTTATATAAATCTCTTCTTTTATGGTAACATAAGAGAGACGCTTATATATTGCTCAACATTTGTTAACTCTGTTATTTATATACTTTTATAAAGAACAAGAAAGGAAAGCTAACTTCGGGCGGAGCCGAAGTTGATATACCCTTGCAGAATACTCTGTAAATTATATTCTCCAAAATTATTCATATGATGCATTCTTAATACTCATAAAAAATCCCAACTTCCTAACTTTAAAAACACCAAAGTTATGACATTTCCAATCGTTCAGTTATATGTCAGCTATAGGATATAATCGGCCGATCCTTAGAAATTCGGCATGTCGGATGGATTAGCCAAATATAAAACCCATAGAAAATCCCAACATTCTAACTTTACAAACACCAAAGTTATGGCATTTCCGATCAATCAGTTATATGGCAGCTATAGGATATAGTCGGCCGATCCTTATGAAATTCGGCATGTCGGATTGATTAGCCAAATATAAAACCCATAGAAAATCCAACATTCTAACTTAACAAACACCAAAGTTATGGCATTTCCGATCAATCAGTTATAGGAAGCTATAGGATATAGTCGGCCGATCCTTATGAAATTCGGCATGTCGGATTGATTAGCCAAATACAAAACCCATAGAAAATCCCATCTCCTAACTTACAAACACCAAAGTTATGGCATTTCCGATCGTTCAGTTATAGGCAGCTATAGATATAGTCGGCCGATCCCGGCCGTTCCGACTATATACTGCGGCAAAGGAAAGAAGGGTGTGGCAAAGTTTCAATTCGATATCTTTAAAACGAGAGACTAGTTCGCGTAGAAACAGACAGACGGACAGACAGACGGACAGACAGACGGACAGACGGACAGACGGACAGACGGACAGACGGACATGGCTATATCAACTCAGGAGGTGATCCTGATCAAGAATATATATACTTTATAGGGTCGGAGATGTCTCCTTCACTGCGTTGCACACTTTTGACCAAAATTATAATACCCTCTGCAAGGGTATAAAAATCAACTTAATTTATCATATTTTTTATGAAATATATTGCTTTCAATTAAGATTCGAAATATGTTTTGAAAATGGATTTTGCACTTCTTCCTCATCAGTTCCATCTTTTCCCCAGTAATATTCATTGAAATCTATTCGATTTGCTCAGCTCATTATTAAGTGTGTTATTGCAGGCGCAACAATAACAATACGAAATTGCTTGAGGTGTGAAATAATTGCATATTGATAATCAAATCTTTTTTATTGATCAATCAGCGGGCGTGTGGAAGTTCAATCGGGCGTTGAGTGCAGTTCATTGAACCAAAATGGGAAACCCAAAGTTCGAAGTCAAAAAGTTAATGTATCCAAATTCCTGGCACGCTTCTGAGCTGCTTTAAATTACCCACATATTAAGCACGTAGTGAGTCGAGTGTGGGGAGAGAGGTCCCGGTCCCCAAAAACCACAATAATAAAATCGACTCCAATGGATGTCACGCTCTGACAATAATTAAAATGTCAAAAAATATGCCTGTCAAAACGAAGTTTCGGAAGGTGTTCGATTGAGTTATGTTGGGATTGGTTCTTTTCCTTGCCATCGATGGATCGATGGGACTCTTTGATAACCGTTAAAGGTTGCAGGCGCTCGATTTATGCAAATGAGGCCTTAATTTTACCCCAGACGACAGCTTTGGTAATGTCCAAATTTATGTGCAGGCCCTCAATAAAACTTCAAGTTGACAAAAAAAAATGATATAGTCAGATATTTAAATAAAAACCCTGCATATATGTATGGAATTGCCTTTTATTATATTTTTAATTATGCTTACAAAAAAGTGTGACGTTTTGGCGTGACATTTTATGAAAATTTACGATCACTTTTGTGGTTACTTAACATAATATGGTATGCCAGCCATCGATGGTCGTAAAAAATATCTCTGGGAATATCTAACCAAGGCATTATCCGCTTTGTTCGAACTCGGACCCCACCCCCGATTCCACTACTGTGCCACGCCGTCTTTTGTGGTCTTTTGTGGCTCTCCTAATTTATGATCGTGGGCAGCGTATTTTGACAATTTGATTTGAATTGGAGGCGAGCATATCAATCAATGGAGCCTCCACTCGATTCCCTGCATATCCAAAATCCAGATGACAATGAAGAGTTAACAGTCGCTGTCTATTAAAGCCCAATTAGTGGCACTTTATTGAGTTGTCGTTTGGCCGGGCAATAAATCTTTGCCCAGAGGCTGTGCCGCCTGCTGCCTGCACTTCTTGCTTAGATAAACGACGATAAATCAAACCGTGGGCGGTACGATAAGCCGATCTATTTAGCATTTGCAGGTGATTGCTTTTTTGATGGGAAAAAGCCAGCTACTTATGTGCGCGATGGGAAAGCACGGACAGTTCAGCAGTTCTCACCCTAAATCTGCGGCATTTCATGCTCGGTTGGAGAAATTGCAATCCGTATCTATTCCGGTATTCGCATCTGAAATTAGCACCCATCCACAAACAATCGCTTGAGTGCCAAATTCAATTCACAGTTGGCTAAACCTCGCACCCTCTCGTCTTTTTCTGCGTTTCCTTCTTGGGCAATCGAAATGCATTTTTGGGTTTCGGGTGGGAAAGGATATCCTGCAACCAAAAACCTTATTGGCCAA